TTCAATTATTTATTTGGTAGGTGATATTTCCTGTGGATGAGAAGACATTTTTGGGCCAGGATTTACACTTTCTTGAGTCAATGGAGTTCAATCAAAGAGTAAAGCCTGTTCAAGAAATTATTGATGGTATTGAATGGCAGGGTCTGGATCCTGATCTGCTGACAAGGTCTCTCATTCATGCTTTAACTGTTTCTCCTTCCTTTTGCGCTCTTAGTCTCGTCTGCCAAACCATAACTTGAAACATAATTTTCCTAGTGGTTATCTTATCCTTGTTCTTGTATATTTTTCTCCTCCTAGTTCGTGGCGAGCAAAGCATCTTTAGTTGCATAGTTACACATTCATGTGTCATTGAAATTTACTTGATGAGATCCTCGCGCTATGCCTCTGATCTATTTCTGGATCATATCTTATTTCTTTTCCTTGTGGCTCTTGCTGCTTATCTTTGGATAGATAAAAATATTGGCTATACTCCCTCTCTTGGCTGATAATTCTTCTCATGTATGTTTTGAGAATAACGGATACGATATGGTTGATCTATTGAAACATGGCTGATAGAACATTGTTTTTTGTTTTGTCACACTTGCAGCAAATATTTTAGCGATGTCTTCATGTTTGTGTCATCTGCAATGGCTACACGGGACCGGAGCTCTGAAAGTGCCCGATTTGAGGTGTTGAGTTCGGAATACAGGTATGCATATTGGGTATGTTGGTAGTTGCTTATTTCCCGATGTTGTTGGGAATTTAAGACTGCAACTAAGATGTCTATACGTTGTGTAGTGCGGTTACGCTGGGAAATGAAAATGCAACTATACATATTGATGCGGTTATCGATCCTTTAAGCCCCACTGGTCAAAAACTAGCATCACTTCTTCAAGTTCTACAGAAACATGTTCAGACGAGCATGAGGATTGTTCTGAATCCCATGGTGAGTAAAACATATACTGCTCACCTTATTATTTCGAAATCATGCGAACGTGAAGCTTTATGTTCTGAGCCACCTAGACGTTCAAAGGGCTTATTCTTCTGTCCTTTAATGTGGTTACTGTTACTCTTGTTGAGATAAATATTTATATGATGTTACAGCTGCCTTACTGATGTGGTCAAATTATGGATATTTTTCATGTATATGTTGTTTCAAGGTCGTTAGTTCTTATTGGAAAGAAAATTACATATTATTTCATGTGTCTGACCTATAGTTTTAATTCTCATTGGCAGAGTTCCCTTGTGGATATTCCTTTGAAGAATTACTACAGATATGTCTTACCCAATACGGTATGTTAATTAAAAATATCTCAAAATTATATGATGGTCTGGTATTGTTCACATTCCCTGATCAATTATTCATTCTTCTATTTCTTATTTTTCTCAGGACGATTACAGCAGTACAAGCTTTGATGTGGATGGGCCTAAGGCATTTTTCGCAAATATGCCATTGTCCAAGACACTTACCATGAATCTTGATGTTCCAGAGCCATGGCTTGTTGAACCAGTAATTGCCATGTATGGTATCTTACCCTGGAAAAGAAAATGGGACTATGCTGCTCTTTTTGGCTTGAAATGTTTTGACTGCGTTTAAGGCATTTGCTTGTGTAATTTACTTATTTTTGCGTGGGCCTGACTTTTTACTTTCGTTTTCTCTATGTTTTGTCCTTGTCCAGCCATGATCTTGATAATATTTTGCTTGAGAACCTGGGAGATACCACTACACTGCAGGCAGTTTTTGAGGTTGAATCTCTTGTTCTTACAGGTTAGGTTTTCTAAACTTTTTCTTCTATTTGAGCAGGATTTTGTTCATGTTTCATTAACAAAATTCTTGCACAGGCCATTGCGCAGAAAAGGATCATGAGGCTCCTCGTGGTCTTCAGCTGATTCTGGGAACCAAAAATAGACCACACTTGGTTGATACTCTCGTAATGGCCAATTTGGGGTATTGGCAGATGAAAGTATCCCCTGGGGTTTGGTATTTGCAACTTGCTCCGGGTAGAAGTTCTGAGCTATATGTTTTGAAAGGAGGCAATGATGGGAGTCAAGATCAAGCCTCGCTGAAACGTATTACCATCGATGATCTGCGTGGAAAAGTTGTTCATTTAGAAGTAGCTAAGAAGAAGGGTAAGGAGCATGAAAAATTGCTACTTCCTACAGACGGTGATGATGATGTGCAGAAAAACAACGAAGTAAGTACTTACCCAAATAGAATATTTGCATAAAATTTATTGGTCCTTGGAAAATGCTGGTTATTTATTATCCGATGACACTCTTCTGTTTTAGCGGGGAAGCTGGAACTCAAATTTCTTGAAGTGGGCGTCTAATATTGTTGGTGGTCGTCAACAATCGATGAAGGAAGGTTCCGAAAAGGTGAGCAACTCTTGTTGTAAAATGTAAACTTGTTGCATCTCAAATGTGCATGATTTCTAACATGTGAATTACCTTTGCAACATTTTTAATCTTGTTATTTCTATTTTTCATCCTTTCAGGAGCATGAGAAGGGTGGGCGACATGGGAAAACGATAAACATATTCTCGATTGCTTCAGGGCATTTGTAAGTGCAGATATTTTCTCAACTGCCTGATCACATGCATTGACTTAATATAATCAAGTTTGTTGAACCATTATGCTTGGAAGGGAAATCAATTCGCCATTACATTTGAAACAATCTTGAATAACTTTAAGTGCATCACACTTATGAAAAGAAAATGTACTTCTACGTCTATATGATTATATCGTGTGAAAAGAGTTTTGAGTATATGCTTTTCTGGTATCACTTCCTTTCTGATGCCGAGGCACTGCTTGTGACAGATATGAGCGTTTCACTAAGATCATGATTCTCAGTGTCCTGAAGAACACCAATCGTCCTGTAAAATTCTGGTTTATAAAGAATTATCTTTCTCCTCAATTTAAGGTTGGTTCCTTTTTTCTTTTCGCACACATAAATCTTGTGCCTTTTCAATTATTTTTCTCCTTAATGTGAAATGCATCAGTAGTTTCTTTTTAACCACATTAACTGAATGTCTATCTCGTTCTACTCTCGCAGGATGTGATTCCACATATGGCTCGAGAATACAACTTTGAGTATGAGCTGATCACGTACAAATGGCCATCCTGGTTGCATAAACAGAAAGAAAAGCAACGAATTATTTGGGCCTACAAAATCCTTTTCCTCGATGTTATATTTCCACTCTCATTGGAAAAGGTACGCATCTTCATTTTTTACTTGCAATTTTGATGCTTGGAGGATGCCACTATATGACCTTCTACACGTATGTTGTAGGTTATATTTGTCGACGCAGATCAAATTATAAGGACAGACATGGGAGAACTATACGATATGGATATAAAAGGAAGACCTCTCGCGTATACTCCTTTCTGTGACAACAACAGGGAAATGGATGGCTATCGATTTTGGAGACAGGTAAACCTTAATCTTATTATTTCTTGTAGACGTGACTGGTTTCCTAGCTCTTACATTCTCAATTTACTTGGGACAGGGTTTCTGGAGAGAACATTTACGTGGTAGGCCATACCATATCAGGTAGACCAACTAACTTCAAGTGAACCTCAATAAGTTATGTCTTTTACCATTCTTGATGTGCCTTGTTCTTTCTGCAGTGCTCTGTACGTTGTTGACTTGGTTAAATTCCGAGAGACTGCGGCAGGAGATAATCTAAGAGTATTCTATGAGACGCTTAGCAAGGATCCAAACAGTTTGTCCAACCTAGATCAGGTACATTGTTCAATATAGTTCTCCACATTTTCATTAGCTAAGACAACATCATTTCTTTGTTGGTCTTTATTTGAACATTCTACTACTGGTTTGGCTTATCTTGTTGAGTTCTAGGTTTCAAACTTGTTGATTGGCATGGCAATATCTTGTTTCAGGATCTTCCTAACTATGCACAGCACACTGTTCCTATATTTTCACTTCCCCAAGAGTGGTTGTGGTGCGAGTCCTGGTGTGGAAACGCCACAAAATCCAAAGCCAGAACAATCGATCTTTGCAACAATCCCATGACAAAGGAACCAAAGCTTCAGGTAAATGATGCTTCCAAGTTCCCATCATGAAATTTGCTTTCCGTATCAACAAACAATGATAAAGCATTTGTTAAATGTGTCGTTCTTATGCAGGGTGCCAGAAGAATTGTAGCTGAATGGCCCGATCTCGATCTCGAGGCACGGAGATTCACATCAAAGATCTTGGGTGAAGATCTTGAACTCAACGAGCCAGTAGTTGCTGCTGCTGCTGCCGCTGCTACAGACGAGCCTAATCCTCCTCCATCAAGTGACATCTCTGAAGAGTCAGAACAAGATTTGGAATCGAAGGCAGAGCTGTAAATTGGAAGGTTCCTGAAGAAAACATGAATCGTCGTTATTGCTAGAGAAGGTTCCTTCTAGTTTTGTAGTCGCAGTTTCGTAGACATCTCTCAGCAAAACTAGACAGAAGATAAGGTCTTCGCCGAAACGACCTTTACGTTTTGAGAAGTTGAGCTATAGGAGAGTGAACAAAACAACAACTATACAGTTTCCAATGTTCTCAACTTCATAGGTTCAACATTGTGTGAAGTAGATCAACCATATAAAGGAGAATAATCTCAAGAATTATATGATTATGCTTTTAAATCAATAACAAAACATATGAGAAATAAATACATTCCATTTGCAAACATACATTTACCTTCGATTCGATACGTATTTGATGTCACCGGGACGAGAGTAGTAAACCTTTTTGGTTTATCGGATTTATGCACGCCACTTGGTCCAAAATCTCAAATTGGTTCGCACTAAACCAAACCCAAATCCACAAGAAAACCGAACCCGAATTTTGAATCCACGTGTGACAGTGTGTATAAAAAGCACCACGTGTTCTCGGAGCAAAGAAGCTTTTGCACAGTTTACAATTCTCAGCAGTCGAATCGATGAATCTCAAATCATTTTCAAATCCATCAATTTCTGCAATTGATCCCTTTTGACAAAAAAATCTGTAAGCTCTCGTCCAGAGAGTGAAAATGGAAGGTTCGTCGTCGTCGACGATCGCAAGGATGACATGGGAGCTTGAAAACAACATTCAAACCGATTCAGCCTCCGACGGAATCTTCTACTACGACGACACTGCGCAGAGCAAGTTTCAGCAGGAGAAACCATGGGCGAACGATCCTCACTACTTCAAGCGAGTCAAGATCTCAGCGCTCGCTCTCCTTAAGATGGTGGTTCACGCGCGATCCGGTGGCACAATAGAAATCATGGGTCTTATGCAGGGTAAAACCGATGGTGATGCAATCATTGTCATGGACGCTTTCGCTTTGCCAGTTGAAGGAACGGAGACGAGGGTTAATGCTCAGGCCGATGCGTATGAGTACATGGTTGACTATTCACAGACTAACAAGCTCGTAAGTCCAATTTTTACTCTCATCTTCTAGCTCCTTTGATACCAAATCGTTGATTGTTGTCAATACTTTTACTCATAGCTAGAAGATTCAATCTGTGGATTTCGGAAATTCATAATTCGTTTTCGTTGTAGTTGAACGGTCTAGGGATTTGATTTCTTCGTTTGGATTTCTACTATTCCAGGGTTTGTGAGAGGCTTATTATTTTGTTGCTCTTGACTGTTCTTACTTCATGGTTATGATAGCTGGAAAGATTGAATTGTGCATTGTGGTGGATTGTATCATTTAACTACTGTTGACAATTTCGAATTAGCAAAGTTTTATTGCAATATTCTTCTTATTCTGGTGTAACAATGGGTTTAAATAAGCTTGAAAGACTCGATTTTTCTTTGTTACCGTTTAAGTTTCAACAAGGCAGAAACAGTTTGATTGATTGTAAGTTTGTAACTATGCTATAAGGCTGGGAGGTTGGAGAATGTTGTGGGATGGTATCACTCACACCCTGGATATGGATGCTGGCTCTCGGGGATTGACGTATCTACGCAGAGGCTTAACCAACAGTACCAGGAGCCGTTTAGCGCTGTTGTTATTGATCCCACGAGGACTGTTTCAGCTGGTAAAGTTGAGATTGGAGCATTCAGAACATATTCAGAAGGATATAAGCCTCCAGATGAACCTGTTTCCGAGTATCAGACTATTCCTCTAAATAAGATTGAGGACTTTGGTGTTCACTGTAAACAGGTACATACTTAGTATAATCAGTTTCTTGAATTTTTTGTTCTCATTGGAATCTCCTAACACGATTTTAATGTTTTGGGTTTTGATTTTGGCAGTACTATTCGTTGGATATCTCTTATTTCAAGTCATCTCTTGATAGTCATCTTCTGGATCTCTTATGGAACAAGTACTGGGTGAACACTCTTTCTTCTTCCCCACTGCTGGGTAATGGAGACTATGTTGCCGGACAAATATCAGACTTAGGTAAACTCTTGACCTGGCCAAGGAGGTCAAAATCATTTTATCCCTTTTTTGTTTTGTTTTTCTAGTCTTTGTCTGCATAAAACGTAAAAGTGGCCTAATCGTTTCATAATTTTTTACCAATGAAGCTGAGAAGCTTGAGCAAGCAGAGAGTCATCTGGCTCATTCTCGCTTTGGAGGAAGTGTGCCATCGTCTCTTCATAGGAAAAAAGAGGTATGTGTGAGTGGTTCATCAAAATTTTAAATTATCAGCCTTTCAAACTCCATTTCTGGCAAATTAAGTACCTACCATCAAAACATCAGCTACTCTGATGATAGTACTTCAACTTTTCTGGTTGTGGGTTTAAATGATAGGAGAAAGTGTTGTTGTTGAAGTTTGAATAATTTGGTAGAATTTTAATGGGTATTTGAAAAATCTCACCTTGGTGTGTGTTCTGTATCAACCTTCAGGACGAGTCTCAATTAGCTAAGATAACTCGGGATAGCTCAAAGATAACTGTTGAACAAGTCCATGGACTAATGTCGCAGGTGAGTAATAATAGTAATTTGAATTCTCAATGGTTGTTATATATCTTCCCTTATAATGGATCATTATGGTCTAAAAAGCATCAATCTTGTAGGTTATCAAAGACGTATTGTTCAACTCAGTTAGCCAGATCAACAAATCTCCCACTGACTCGTCGGATCCAGAGCCTATGGTTACATCCTGAAGCTGGTGTTGTTTTTGGTTTCTAGCTTCGTTCGTAGCTTTTTGCATAACGCGCTCTATGTTTTGACCCATCGTTTCGTTGTCATTTCCTCTGTTTTTGTCTGTTGTATAAGAACTTATAATCAAACGAGAATGAATGCTTAACACGAGATGATATAGATGGGGTTAAGGAATTGAGTAATTGACCACACGGTTTAAAATTTTTGTTTTTTTTCGTCGACCACAAGGTTATGATATTATTGTATGAAAATGAGAAAAAAAGACATAATGGATGAAACCAGAAAGTAGGCAACAACGATTACCAGAAATCAACTATTTTAGACTTTTTAGTAGTGTTTTGCTACCGTACGCCTCTCCGAGCTTTTTCAGGTACAGAAAATGGCGCAGAGAGTCGGAGGAGTGAAGAGAGTGAAAGTTTCTCCTGCGACTACAGATCTTCCGATTGTTTTCCGTCGCGATGGAGTTCGCTTTCATCGACGCTGTTGCTCTTTCTCCCGAAATTGTCCTTCTAATCGAAAGCCAAGGCTCCGGATTGTGGCACAGAAATGGAAATTGAACGACATCGATCCAAGTAAGACCTTCTTCTTCGAATTTGACTTCGGATTTCTCTGATGACTTCAGGATTTGATTTTGATTTGATTTTTGTGTTTTCTTCTTCTCCGGCAGATGCGGTACAAGAACGATTCAGTCAGTGGGTGTCAAAATCCCAAAAGTATCTGAGCGAAGTAACCTCTCCGCTGAAGAAAAAGACTCAGATTCTCAAGGTCGATATCGAGGATCAACAAGATTTCGAAGCCTTGGAGGAGCTTCTTACAGTCGAACAAACTGTTAAAAGCGATACACCCAAAGGATCTCTTTCTTTTGATGCTATTATCTCCATCGAACAGTTTAGCAGGTGAACAATTGAATCATGTTCACTTGTCGTTGCTGTGAATTCTGTAAATTATGGCGTTTGTTTCACTGTTCTTTGACCTTCCGTATATGCAGGATGAATGGATTAACAGGGAAGAAGATGCAGGATATATTTGAAACGCTTGTTCCTCCAACCTCATCCACCAATGCTCGCTACCTTGTGGAGTATTGCTGTTTCAGGTTTTTATCGAGGGATAGCTCGGAGTTTCATCCGTGTCTCAAGGTATCTTGGATGCTTTACACTGTAAAAAGAGACGTTCTTTACATTGTTTGTTGATTTCTGAGCAATGGAAACTTATTTCGTTGTAGGAACCTGCGTTCCAGAGGCTAATTTTCATCACGATGCTTGCGTGGGCGAATCCATACTGCAAAGAAAGAAGTGCACGCAATGATAAACCTTCTTTTCAGGTATTTCTTAGAACGTTTAGCTTATATGTTGACAAAAGTTCTTTATTCTGGAATCGCTCTCATAGTTTCTCTGAAGGTGGTAGTAGTAATAGTATTCAGATAGTACTGATGAAAGTTTATCCGTGTTGAAGGGACGGTTTGTAGGGGAAGAGGCATTTGTTCGTATCGCTCCAGCAGTTTCGGGCTTGGCTGATAGGGCTACAGTATATAACCTTTTCGAGGCTCTAGCCGCTGCCAGTGGTGGTAAAAAAGGCATTTCTTTGGAGATTTGGCTAGCTTACATCCAGGAACTTGTCAAGTGAGTATAACATTTGGGTTGTTTTCTACTACTGACTGCAAATTTCAGATGGTGAACTGTATGACATTTCTTTTTACTTAGCTTTCTGTTAAAAATATCTCTGGATTCAATATTGATTTCCAAGCTGAATCTATCTTTAGCTTGTTGCATAAATAAGCATGGACCGACGTTGTTTTCGTCGCTGAGTACCTTTCCATTGTCAGAACAGAATACACGAAAGACGGAAGTCATACCAGACTACAGAATTTCCACAGATGTCATCCGAGAGACTTCTATGCATGGCCGCTAACAGGAAAGGACCTGTTTTGAAGTGGGAGAATAACGTTGCATGGCCTGGAAAACTGACTTTAACTGATAGAGCTCTGTATTTTCAGGTATTTATAGTTCTTTGTTATGTAGGTGTATTGTATAACTTCCTCCTTTAGGATTTACATATTCCGTGCATATATATGCAACATTGAGTTATAACTCTGTGAATCCCTATGTCGTTGAGCTTTTGCTTTGGTGTAGAAATGTATTAATTGTCTTCATTTTCAGCCAGTTGACATAAAGCGCAGCAAAGGGATCGTAAGACTTGATCTCGCAGGGGACAAGTCATCCGTAGAGAAAGCAAAAGTTGGTCCTCTGGGGTTTTCCCTCTTTGATTCTGCAGTAGCTGTTTCATCCGGCCCCGGGTGAGTTCATCTGTTCATGTAGCTGATGTGGTTTTGATGCCTCTCTTAGTGTGCCATATGTCTGGGTGGTCATTTTACTTAAGAGACATGCTAACCTGTAATATGTTCATTTAGGTTGGCCACTTGGGTTCTAGAGTTTGTTGACCTAGGAGGAGAACTTAGACGAGATGTTTGGCATGCGATTATTAGTGAAGTTATAGCGTTGCACGCATTTCTACGAGAATTTGGGCCAGAAGAGAATGATAAATCACTGTCGCATGTGTTTGGTGCAAAGAAGGGTAAGGAAAAGGCGATCGCAAGTGCATCCAACTGTATTGCAAGACTTCAAGCTCTTCAGTACATGCGGAATTTGCCAGATGATCCTATCAAGCTAGTTCAGTTCTCTTTTCTTCGACAAGCAGCCTATGGTGACATCGTGTCTCAAACTTTAGCTGTAAATTTCTGGGGTGGTCCATTAGTGACCAAAGTTGAAAACAACCGAGGTAAAATGGTCAGGACTTCCGGAGAATCCTATGAGAGTTTTGATAACGCCTCTGATCTAGAGGGAAGTGTCTATTTGAAAAAGTGGATGAGATCTCCGTCCTGGGGTTCAACTGCATCTGTTAACTTCTGGAAAAACTCTTCTCTAAGACAAGGCTTAGTTCTCAGCAAAAACCTTGCTGTGGCTGATCTCACACTCGTAGAGAGAGCAGCAGAAACATGCAGACAAAAATATAAGGTGGTGGAGAAAACTCAAGCCACTATTGATGCTGCTACCATCAAAGGGATACCCAGTAACATTGATCTCTTTAAGGTAAGCTTTTTCTCCATTATTTTCTTCACTGCCTCAGAGTTGTAGTGACAGTAGTGACTCAGTTTTTTCCTTTTACTCGCATCTCGCAGGAACTTATTCTACCATTGACTATAGCTGCCACAAAGATTGAGAAACTCCGGCGATGGGAGGAGCCGTACATGACGGTTTCTTTTCTAGCATTTGCATCAACGATAATTTTCAGGTTTGTTTACACCGTGAGATGTGATACCATGTACGTTTGGATATATTGTTATATTAGTGATGATCTGATGCTATTGAGAATGTTTTTCTGTGCCTCAGGAACCTCTTGCAGTACGTTCTTCCCGTGTCTTTAGTGTTTTTGGCAACTGGGATGCTTACGTTGAAGGGACTCAGACGACAAGGGCGTCTTGGAAGATCATTCGGAATGGTTACCATTCGAGATCAGCCATCTTCAAACACTATCCAAAAAATCATTGCTCTCAAAGAGGCTATGCAAGATTTGGAGAGCTATCTCCAGAACCTGAACGTTGTGCTTCTGAAATTACGGACAATCGTACTCTCTGGTCATCCTCAGGTATGTTCTATTCACTTGATCAGAGGTTTCAAAGCTCTTTGTGACAAGTAACTTCTTTTTGTTGTGGTATAACCAAGATTTGAAATCTCTTGTCAGGTAACTACTGAAGTAGCGCTGATTTTGCTCTCTAGTGCAATGGTTCTAGTCATTGTCCCTTTCAAGTACGTTCTGGCTTGTGTTCTCTTCGATCAGTTCACTCGGGAGCTCGAGTTCCGGAAAGAAATGGTGAGGAAGTTTAAAGCTCTCTTACGAGAACGTTGGGAAATGGTACCAGCAGCTCCTGTTCTTGTTTTACCATTTGTAAATGAAGAGTCTACACCAGCAGCAACTCAAGGCAAACAAGCAGCTCAGAAAACAAACAACAGAGAGGTAACTGATAAAAATGGCAAATCTGTATCTGATAAAAATGGCAAATCTGTATAAATGTAGTGGCATTTTACATGTATTTAGATTCACGAGTTGCTGAAGATGTACACTCCTAGAAGCAACAAATATCAAAATGTAGTTGATAATGATTCGCTGGTTAAATATTAAATGTATATGATAAAGTACAGAGCCCTATAGATTAGTATCTTTAGTTAATTAGTTAATCAAAGTTCTTCTTGAATAAAATTCTCACACTTCTTGATCTTGCCCCTTTAAAAGATTTACTTGGATTCTTGAAAACATTATCTGTTATCTGTCACACTATTTTCTTGATCTTTATCCAAGAGGGAGAAAAAATGCGGCACGGTCTGTGTCTTGCGTATGCATTTTGAGTCTCTTCTTATGACATTTCAAACATGATGCATGCAAGCCTATTAACTCGCTAGATTACATGCAAGCAAGCAGCCGAAATGAAAGAGAGCCGTTACAAACTCTAACCGAAAATCCGGAAGATAACTCCTATGTGTCACATGCCTCTTGTTTTCACTTAGCCTCTATATAATAACAATCTTCCACATTCTCAGTCCAACACAAAATAACAACAGACAAAACGAAAACAACATGAGAATCCACATTCAAGGATGGGTGTTGATGATAGTTGTCGTGACGGCTTCCGTTATACTACAGAAGCCTAAGTTGGTAACCGGACAAGCTAGAGTTCCGGCCATGTTTGTGCTCGGAGACTCACTGGTCGATGTCGGAAACAACAACTTTCTACAGTCCATAGCTCGAGCCAATTACTTACCTTATGGCATCGACTTAAACTACCGTCCTACTGGCAGATTTTGCAACGGCCTGAACTTCGTTGATCTGCTTGGTAAGATCTTTTACATACTTTAAACAAAAGTCATTGATCTTGCTTTTAAAAAAAACTGTTCTGCAAAAAACAGCTCAGCTGCTAGGAATCTCGTCGCCTCCTCCCTTCGCGGATCCAACCACATCAGGCTTTAGAATCCTCGGAGGAGTCAACTATGCCTCTGCAGCTGCTGGAATCCTCGACGAATCAGGCCAACACTATGTAAGTTTTATCTAATCAAAACATGTGTTTTGTAGTGTTAATAGATAAGAGATTGATGGCTTGGCTTTAATGTTGCAGGGAGAGAGATACAGCCTGACCCAGCAAGTGGTGAACCTAGAGACAACGTTGAGCCAGTTGAGAACGATGATGAGTCCTCAAAACTTTACGGACTACTTATCGAAATCGCTAGTGGTTCTTGTTTTTGGAAGCAACGACTATATAAACAACTACCTCTTGCCTAATCTCTACGCCACCAGCTCCAGATTCACACCTCCTGACTTCGCCTACCATGTTCTAACCCAATACGCTCGACAACTTCTTGTAATGATAACAACATTAAATTCTTCGTATAGTCTTATTATTATTCTTCTTCTGATAATCATTTGAATTTTTTTTTATGTAGACTCTGTACAGCTTAGGACTAAGGAAAGTGTTTATACCTGGAGTAGCACCACTAGGCTGCATACCTAGCCAAAGAGCCAGAGGCGTTTCACCACCAGATAGATGCGTCGACGGTGTGAACCAGATTCTTGGATCATTTAACCAAGGGCTGAGATCACTCGTTGACCAGCTAAACCAGAGATCACCTGGAGCCATCTATGTATATGGAAACACATATGCTGCTGTTGGTGACATCTTAAACAACCCGGCTACTTACGGTAAAACCTCCTACCACTAAACCGAGTTTCTTCTATGCTTTATAATCCTGCTTAACCGAGTTTGTTCTATTACATGGTATACAGGATTCAGTGTAGTGGACAGGGCTTGTTGTGGGATTGGGAGGAACCAAGGAGAAATCACATGTTTGCCAATGCAGGCTCCTTGTCCCAACAGGTCTCAGTATGTGTTTTGGGATGCATTTCATCCTACTCAGACTGCTCTTTCAATTCTGGTTAGACGAGCTTTCTATGGTCCACCTACAGACGCATATCCTGTCAATGTCCAACAGATGACTTACCTTCGCTGAGTTTCTTTAGTTTTTTTTCATGTTTCTTGGTCTTGAAGTTTGTATGTTATGATGGTTTTAAAACATGTTCTAAGATCACTTGTTGACCAGCTAAACCAGATCACCTGGAGCCATCTATGTATACGGCAACACATATGGCTGCTTATGTTATGTTATGATGGTTTCAAACATGTTCTGAAACCAAAATGCTTTAACCGCAAAGATAACATGTTATTAATGACAATGGGCTCCAAAATTTCAAGTCTTTAAAGAGGACATATTAGTTTCAAGAACAGAGAGCATGCCAAGTTTCTTGTGCTACCATAAAATTACAGAAAAAGGGAACACATCCGTTTCTCAATTTACTCCATTCCCTACTCTCCCATCAAGTTCATTAAACCCACTCCAAGCTTAACTGCGCTGGATCGGTCTTAATCCCCTCTGCTGCAGTACCAGCTTGACCTGTTAACTTATCCCATCCCATGATGTGTGGAAGAGCAAACTGCACAAACACACAACAATCCAGTATAAAAAATACTAGATCCATGCAATGCTCTTTGATTTTTTCAGTCAATATTGCAGCAACAGACAGAGAGAAGAAGAGTTAAAATCATGTAACTTACACTAAAAGCTGTCTTCAGTACTGTAAACTCAGCAGTTGTGACAGGAACCACAAAACGGTCATTGGTATTGAGGATGGTATTGACAACGGCTGCAATAAAAACCACACAAGTTAAGTCTCTCTACATCATTCCTATTACTATAAAGAAAGCTAAACCAATTACATGTTTAAGCTTTTCAAGATTATCCATTTCCAGTAGTATACATACTGATCTACAACTAGTTATACAAGTATAGAAGAAGCCATACTCAATGTGATGAAGTAACCGTTCCCTTCAGCGAGTGGCTTAATCGACAATGACTTCCTGACTTGACCAGCATTACTGAGGAATCATCAACGACATGTTTATTGTATATCAGAACATGGAATTGCTGCAACAATTCAGTAGATAAAAACATCATGTATTGAAGCTAACAAGACCTTGATTTCATGGAAGGGTCATGGAAGAACTCAGAGCTGTCATGGGAACCCATGCTGATCAAGGATCCAACTTCAGTAGGTGACAAAGCAAACAACTGCAACAATGCAGCAAATAACAAAATCAAATTTTTTTCTTTCAAAGATATGATTTTGAAGGTGCAGAAAGAGAGAGAAGGACCTGTCTCTTTTGCCAATCATACTTGCGCTCACCAGAAGCAGGCATAAATGTCATCATCACTGATCCACGGCGATCTATCCGGAGATTTCCATGCTAAACGATTACACACAGAAAGTGTAAGAATCTTTCAAAAAACCCAACAAAATTCAAAAGAAAAGTTTTGGTTTTTTTTGGGCATACCTCAACTTTGGTGAAAGTAGGAAGAACAGGTTCAACAGAGAGAGCAGCTCTCCCTTTGAAGATAGCATAAGGTGCGAACACTCTACCACTAGGCTTTGCCACATCTATGTATGCATTAAAAGGGAACAAATTAGGGCTAACACTTGCAACACTCAAAACCGGAGCAATCCAAAGTACAAACCTTTAGAAGAATCTACCATTGTTGCAAAACCACGCAACGCCGGAGCTTTGAGATTTCCTTGGAGAATTGATTTGGTTTGGTCGCAAAGGCTCCTGCTTTCAAAACGGAAATGAAACAAAAACAGAGAGGTCATTTTGGGAGAAAAAAAATCTGAAATTTCCTCGAAGGAAATAAGGGATTAGGGTTTAACCTAGAGAGCAAAATGCGAGCTTGATTCATCATCTTCTTTCCACAATTTCGCCTAGAGAAAGGAGTTTCACTGTATAAAGCTTAGCTTAAGCGTCTCTTCACTGGTTTCATGATTTTGGGGAGGTTTTATGATTTTGTCGAAACGGGTTGTATCCATATAAAACGGGTATTAACCGTATTCGTCTCGCATATAACCCGATTACCCGACCCATATATTAGTCTTTTAGCAGCCCAATATGTTTGTGATTTGATGGGAGGCCCAACTTGTTGAAGGAAATATGTTTAGATTTTGATTGCTATAAAAAAATCTATGAAACATGAATAAGCAAAGCTTTAATTAGTCATTTCAAATCTTTACTTAAATATAAATGGATTTTAAACTTTTTATAGATGGTAAGTAACTAAATACAAAAAACTAATTGTTGAATAAGCACCACTAAATAACTTATCCAAGTTTGTGTCTAATTTCATGTTCTAACATCATAGGAACAAGCCATGGAAGACTTAAGTAATCATGAGAAACATGGATATGATTTAGGAGCATTTCTCGGAGACTTGTCTTTTGAAGATGATTCAGACAGGTAACCTTTTTTATGTGTGTTTCTGTTTTACCAATAATTCAAGTTCTGATTACAATTAATATTTTTCTCATAATGTACACACTTGATCAAATTGAGATTATTCTTTTCAAAATAAAATTGTTGTTGGACAGTGAGGATATATCACTAGAAGGGCTTCAGCAAGAATTAGAAGAATGTGAAAGTGATGATGTATCCAATGTACTATCCAGTGGTGCCAAACTTAGAGAATATGCTAAAGAGGTTGAAAACAACATACATAAAGTCGAATTGGATTCCATTCAGGTTGCTCTTCTTACCTATGATACATTTTGATACTTCATATTAACTAAATACTATTTGTCCTGGAATACATTTTGATACTTCATTTTATGATACAGTAATGTAAGACTGTGAGTGGCTTAATTAAATTATAATGCTTTTACCCTCCATGAATAAGCAGGATTACATAAAAGAAAGTAATGACCTAGTCTCACTTCAAGGTCAGATTCATGACTGTGACAACATGTTATCACAAATGGAAACTCTCATCAGTGGATTTCAGGTACTTAACAATAAGCCACATAAATAATTTGTGTGCATAGGATTAAAGAGAGGAATATGTTTACGTTGAAAGACATGTTTTATGTTTTGCATGTAATCTATTTGCCCTCTTTGCTTCACCTTTTTTTGCCAGAAAGAGTTTGGTGCTATAAGTTCAGGCATCCAAATTCTACAAGAAACATCAATGGACATGGGTTTGAGAGTGAAAAATCGAAGGGTATACAGAAAATCAGAAACCACTATTAGTATTAGTATCTCTAGCTGGTTTATGTGATGGTTACTCTTTCAAATAAGCTCTTCTATATGGACAGGTGGTTGAATCAAAGCTAGCAAAATTTGTTGAAGAAATTATAGTGCCACCAAAGATGATAGATGTAATTGTTGATGGAGAGGTCGATGAAGAGTATATGAGATGGCTTGAAACTCTGAGTAAGAAGCTGAAATTTGTAGAAACAGATCCTGCGGCTAAAAGTTCCAAAGCATTAGAGGATGTAGAGCCTGAGCTTCAAAAGCTACGGCAAAAAGCTATTTCCAAGGTTATTGATCTACTTTCTGTGTGACCAGAAAGGGCATGATTCTAAATCTGTTCTTATGCATTAGATTTATATTTTATGTCCTCCAGGTTTATGATTTTTTTGTCCAGAAGCTTATAGCCCTGAGGAAACCCAAAACAAACATCAAGATTCTTCAGCAGAGTGTGTTGTTAAAGTACAAGTGAGTAATGTGGTCCAAGCCTCTTTTCTTGATATTATTTCGCTTATACACTAGATTTATGTGGATCCATGCTTCATTCACCAGTTACAATTTTAATGATGTAGGTATATTATATCCTTTCTCAAAGAACATGGAAAAGAAGTGTTTATGGATGTTCGTGCTGCATACATTGATACCATGAACAAGGTAATACTCTTTATTATCTTGTTTGATTAGTGCCACCATGCTGATAAAGTTAGTTTTTCTTTGTTGTTTCAGGTGTTAAGTGCACATTTTCGTGCCTATATTCAAGAACTTGAGAAACTACAATTAGATATAGCAACATCATATGACTTGATTGGTATGGAGACTAGAAGCACAGGTCTCTTCTCAAGAGCTAGTGAGCCACTTAAAAACCGTTGTTCCCTCTTTTCTTTGGGTGAGAGGATAAAAATTGTAAAGGTATTCATAATACAATGATTAGCATTACTGACTGATTATTTTTCAATCATTCTTAAATTTTCAGTATGTATATACTGTAGGAAGTTGATCAACCTGCATTGATACCGCACATAGCCGAATCAAGCTCTCTCAAATATCCTTATGAAGTGCTCTTTAGGAGCTTGCACAAGCTTCTTATGGATACAGCTACTTCTGAGTTCTGATGATTTTTCACTTTCTTTAATTTTGTCTTATTGTTTCTCATCCACTCAACCCCCTGGTGATCAATGTCATATATTTTTATCATAACAGGTATATCTTTTGTGGTGATTTCTTTGGTGAAGACTCCATATTTTATGAAATTTTTGGTGGTAATTTATTATCTTTCTCCCTTTTATTCTCCTGGAAATGCTTTACCAAACTTTTGAAATTTTTGGTAAATTCTGAATCCTTCATGGTACAAGTCCATTCTCTGTCATTGATGAACACTTCAATCATGTTCTTTCAAACTGTTTTGATGCTATCGGCCTGATGCTTATGATTCGCATTATACACCACCACCAGGTACTAACTCTGATCCAGTTACTATTATATGTTGCTTTTGGTGAATCCATTTGGAATCAAGTAATATAGTTAGCTTCCTTTTGATTTTTTTTTATAGTTGCATTTGTATGTGAAAATGTTTAGTAGAATAGGTATTTATGAGTTAGCATTGGAAGAGCCTCAATGTCTTGCAAACTTAAGAAAGATTTGTTTCACTACTAGTATACATATTCCCTAACAGTTCTCAGTTCACAGCTTATCATGTCTAGCTGGAAGATTCCATGCCTGGATTCATATTTGGACAAGGTTCGTAACTCTGAAGGTCTTGTGGTGATTTCTTTAGGGTTCATATATTCTTCTCTCAGTGAATCTTTTTTCATTTTGCAAATTGAGCAGGTTAATCTTTCTTTATGGCCTCGTTTTAAGATGGTGTTTGACTCACACCTCAGCAGTCTGAGGGATGCAAACGTAAATTCATTATGGGAAGATGATGTTCATCCTCACTATGTCATGAGGCGTTGTGCTGAATTCACAGCTTCGTTTATTCACCTGAATGTTGAATATGGAGATGGTCAGGTTCGTTGCAATCATTCCCTCCTTCTCTCTACTGATATGTGTTACCTTCTTGTCACTTTAAGCTCTTGACATTGTCTATGGTTATTTTTCAGCTTGATATAAATTTGGAACGTTTAAGAATGGCTGTAGATGGCTTGATTCTCAAGCTTGCAAGTTTGTTCCCAAAGCCAAAGCAGCAAATTGTGTTTCTCATAAACAACTACTACATGATAATTTCTGTGCTGAAGGTGAGTTGAATTCTTGGCATCTCATGTTAAGTGCAAAATTCTATTTTGATCATCTTCCTTTATTTCTCTATTGAAGGAAGCTGAACAAGAAGGTGGGAAAATTCAAATGCATTTTGAGGAATTGCTAAAGAGCAACACTTCGTTATTTGTGGTAAGGGACAATGTTGCACTTTTTAATTTTCTTAGGTTTTCCAAGTCATGTTACCTTTATAGTTTGCTGCATGGTTTTAAGTTTTAACACAAGTATGGCACCTTAAACTTGATGGTCAAGTCTCCTGCGTTCAATTTTGAGAGGATAGTGAGTGGTTTTTGTTTGATCCAGATAAATAAAGAGTCAAATACCATTAAAAAAAATCAGTAACATTTGAGGATTATGATGTTTTCCATTTCTTATATTTGTTCATGTTTTCCTATCTTGTAGGAAGAATTACTGGTTGAGCATTTTAGTGATTTAATAAAAATTGTGAAAAGTCTAACCTGTAAGCAGCTTCTTTCGTTCTTGTCCTCATACTCATCATTTGCTAAGTCAAATAAACACTGAATTGTAATATGTAGCAGCTGAGGATCCAAACTCAAATCAAGAGAGGTCCATCACAGTTGCTGAAGTAGAGCCGCTGGTTAAAGACTTTGGAAGCAGATGGAAAACAGCGATAGAGTTGATGCACAAAGATATCATGACTTGCTTCAGTAACTTCTTGTGTGGTATGGAGATCTTGAGACCTGCGTTGACACAATTGGTGCTCTATAACAAAATACTCGCAGACTGCATCAAGAAGATAGATGGTGCAGCTGCTTTGAACAGGCATATTGTCTCCGATGGATCTATCCAGATAGAGATGAAGAAATATCATCAGACTTTCTGAAAGATAACCTATGTGGCTGCTTATGAAGATATGTGAGATAAGTCAAAATCTTTCAAAGTGAATGCAAAGCCAGTTAACGATGCATATTCTTTAGGAAATGTTAAATTTATGTCTTGTCTTGCAAGTATAACCATAAAGCTTTAGCATCTACATTTTACTTCACCCACTCGGTTAATCAATGTTACACATGGGATTAGGAGAACATATGTACAAATAATAAATAAATATAACATGAACAAAACATTTGTAAATATAACATGTGCAGATATAAAAATTCATTTGGATGTATATCGACTTTATTAAGTTATGTTTATTCTAAACCTTGCATTGTTTTGAGAAAGAAAAAAATAGGAGTACGATAACTAAGATCTTCAGAAACTTTCCAAAAAATAATTATTCAATCAAGGATGAAGAACTTCCAAATTTTTATTAATTATTATATATTAAGGAAATTATTTTCTTAACAATACAATATAATTATTTTAAATTGCCTTTGGGACATCTATAAGTACAAACACAATTTAAACCGAAATACTTGCATTCTCCATCTCCATTGAAATCTTTTTTGCAGAACTGACGACAAAAATCAGTATAAAGGTAACAAGCAACTTGAGGAAGAATTATTTTTGTACACATGCCTTCTTTAGTACTCTGAACCACTGAAATTGCTACAAATTAAAAAGAGCATTTTGTTATGATGTGAATATATATATATATATATACATAAATTCCCTTATATTTTTGTGTAATATAAATCTGAAAATATTAAATTTTTAATGTTAGAAAGTAGAAAATATCACAAATTGATAAAAGAAAAAATCAATTCACCTGAGAACACAATTGTGAGTATGAGAAAATAGTAACATGATATAGATAACTTAGCCATGATCAATAATCACAACAAAAGAAAGTTTGTACTTTTTGGGGAAAATTAGAGATGATAAAGGGATTTATTTTCTTTGCTATGTTGTTTTTGATAATACACTAATGTGTTAATCTTTGTGTTTATATATCTCTACTCGTAAGTCGTAACATGATGTTTTTTTCAGTTGATCACATGAAATGAAATATAAACGGAACGTGACTGAATGCTGAAAACGTTAGATGGTTGACTACATTTATTACTATATGTACGTTTACGTTCTCATAAAGTCAATATGTTTTTTTTTTTAATAAAACATAAAGTCAAAACGTTAGAAATCATGCTTTAAAGAGTTTTCTCAAGGGACGGTCAATGAACTTTATATAGCCACTGGTTGCAGCTCTGGCTAACACATCCTCCCTGTTTGCTATGAACTCAATGGCTGCAACCGAAGGCTGTGTGGTTTTTGGGCCATCATCAGCTATACTCTGCTCATCAGCTTTCTTAAGACCCTGCAACATCAAATATAAGAAAATAATTTACAAATTACTTGCCCTCCTCAATTGGCTTGAGAGTGTGATCATATACGTAGAGCTGCCAAAACTACCTTGAGTTCCAAGATGCCTTCAAGATCCATGGCTGTTCCATTTGGAAACAGTTTACTATAAGTGTCTGCCACTGAATCGATTGGGGAGAGTAGGACCTTTAGGACCGCAACAGCTCTGTTCATTTGATGTTTCACGAATTCGGAATAGCTAGCACCACTTGCACTCTGCAATATTATTATTATTATTACTATCAAATAAGATAAACAAAGCACAACAAAAATTATGTGACGTAAGCTCACCTGTTTGTCAAGAAATGGAACGTTTAGAAGAATCATCTCCATGGCTTGCGTATCAAGCAACATCTGTGAAACCAAGAGAGACAAATATAATACATATTCAAGAAATCAACATCAGAAACAGAACATGGGAGAGGAGAGGGATCTAAAGCAGCTACACAGTTTTTACTTTGTCCAAGCATGCAAAAACATTATCCTACCATGAATGAATAAACATATTCATCTCAACAGTAAAAAGTCTATCTATAGCCAAACAGTAGAAATTCTTATAGTAAAAACAGGCTAACCTGCTGAGCACTAGTTTCTGATATCTGCCTGCATCTGAATATATTAGCATAGAACCGTAGTCCAAGGGATGATGCCAACTGCACAAAGATTTAAAATTACCAAAAAAAAAATGTTGTCATAAGATAAAAATTGATGTAAAAAGGCAGCAAATTATCAAATCTTAAAAACTATATGATTACCTTTTCCATGAAGAATTGAAAGTAGACTGGTGACAGAATTTCGCCGACAACAGGAATGCTCTTGTTAAGAATTGTATTTATTCCATTCACATAGCTACAACAAAAGGTGCAAACGAATGTTGTTATAAAAAGATAGTGTTCATTGGTTGTTTATTAACTTTAAACCTGATCAGTTAAAACCTTACTTAGAATGGTCACCCACACTCTCAGGTGTGCCCCAGGGAACAAGTTTTGTCGCTGCCATCTCTGTGTCAAATTTAGTTTCCATTCTACGGACTAGTGTCAACAATCCTTTCGTTATGACGGAGGAAAAATCATCCTGCACAAGAACGCATGCAGCTTTAGAAGAACCCAAAAATTACATTACATATCTGTGAAACAATATAAGTCCTCCATGTTAATGATACCTGGACCTCAGACATGTCTACACTCTCAGCATAATGGGGGTCAATAATTGTTGAGACTTCTTCTGCCAGGTCACCAGACTGCCAAGTTGTTACTTGTTAATCAACATCACTGTTTGCATTACATTGTTTGATATAGAAGCAGTGGGTAGATTACATTGTTGCAATCTTAATATATGTGTCAAAACTCAAAAGTGAAGAAATCTTACTGTTTTGTGGCAAAACTCAGCAGACCTAACTATGTAACATATCACCTTTTCATCTATCTCTGAGACCTGCATAGAGAACAAGAAAAGAAAAACGATAAAACTACAATCGAAAAGAACACATGAGAAACAGAAACCAGGCAGCTATTTATGTTTAGCACCTTTATGATCTGTTTACGAGTTCCTTCTTTTGAGAGCTTAAAAATTAGCTTAGCAGCATAGGCTTTTAGCACTCGTTGAAAGACCTGTACATTAAAAGGAAACCTAAACTCAAAATTTACATCCATCTTATTCTGTTCTCATAAAAATTTCTACTACTCCTCGAACAGAGCTGGTTCTTAGGAAATTTGAAGCATTGATGGAATTAGAATACACAATACAAGTCTATGATATAAAAATAGGAATCCCATTTTACCTTGAATAAATTGAATAAAGTCTGGTACGCTTATTCAGAGCTTTACACTTTTCATAGCTATTCTTTATAGTGAAGAACAACTGCATGCAAGCAAGGCAATAGTAAATTATATAACAAAACCGAAATGAATGGTTACTTAAACAAGCAAATATAGGATGCTGAGAATAAAAAGAAAAAAACCCACAAGAAATGGTACTCACCTCTCTACTGCTAGATAAAATATTAATTTGACTTTCCTCCTCAATATCCCATGTTTCCTCCTGACAGAAAGAAAAATAATATTGGGAAAAATCGATAAACCTTGGAAACATGTTGACCAAAACATACATATTAAATTACCTGAACAAAATTCTCCAGGCAACGCATAAGTTCATTCTCTTCCCCCTCAATATAAGGGGTTAAATAAGGCTCGAAGCAAGAAGAAATAATTCCACGGAAGTTAATCTGCAAGATCAAGTAACTAGTTAGTAGTGATGAAAGTCTCGTAATATCAGTAGAAGAAACGAAGCCGAGGTAAAAAAAATCATAGAACATACATTTTCCTTAGATTCTTGATTAGAAGCAGACTTCTCTACATGCTCCATTCGAATTTCCGATACATTATGGCGATTATGTTCCCCTTTACCAAGTTTATTCTCAAGTTCCTTTTCAAACTTTAGCGTCCTTTCCAGTTCCTAATCATTCAATGACATCAAACTTTAATAGAAGCCTGAGACATTCCACAGTTTTCTAGTAAATAAAATACGATAACGTGACTGAAAAGTAACAGGTTTTGATGGTAGAGTAAAGGAGGTGGCAAAGTAGAAGAATTTTTGCAATTTTCTTGAGAGGTAACACAATCCATCTGATAAATATAATGAAATGTTCATGTTAGGTCAAGTATGCCTGACCAGAAGCAATCTCACTACAGCTTGCTTGGGTTCCATGTTGACCAAGATAGATTCTACCTGTTCCCTGAAAACATTTAATGGGGAAAAAACAAGATACAAACCAAAAGAAAAAGTGTTTAGAAGATAGGTGCATGTCCTAAATTTTCTGAGAGATCCAAGAGAAAAAAACCACCTTGTTTTCTTGCAGAACTGGATACATATTCTATAAGGTACATGCCACGGAGCAGGAAAGATCTTCCAAATTTCTTGATTTTTTCGGATTTGAAAATTTATCCAATCGTATATCCGTTCCATTTCATCCAAGTTTGTCAATTCTGCCAACAATTAACCACTAAGAAATTACATCCAAGAAAACCGTAAAAATATAAAAAAAATCACTTTCAGAGCCAGTAAAATCTAACATACCAGCTCCTAAAATAAATTGTTCATATGAGGTTAGCTCCCTGCTACAAAAGTTGTTTACCAACTCTTCCCTCACAGATGGGTCCAGAGCATCAACAACCAAACAAGAATCAGATAACATCTCAAGCAAATTTGTTTCCTCTGCCTTTGCCACAGTACCTAGACTGAGATCACAAACAGTAGACAATATTGGAAAAGGGAGAGAATAGAAGAACATCTTAAGGCAATTTGTGGTTTACTACATAAAGAAGCAAAAAAGTAGCCTAAAGGATTGATCTGCAAGTACTACTCTAACAAAGGGGAGCAGCCGAATGAAAAGCATGAAACTTCAATTTATAACACCAAAAGTAGAAAGAGAAGCAGCGTCAACTATACTCATATACAACAGTGGACCATCTCTGTGGACTTGTTTAAGTATGTAAAATTTGGCAAGAGTCACTAAATTAAGGGGCAGTACCTGGAAAAATCATAAAATACTTGAGACTTGAGAAATTGCTTTATGTTCTTGATCTTTTCTCTGACCTCCTTGATGTTAGGAAGGTCCATATTTGCTTCAATATGATTACATAATTGGTTCACAGCCTGAAACATATCACAGCCAGAAACTTAAGAATATCATCAGAAGATGTAAAAATGTTTTCCCATGTCACCTAGCTAGCGTCAAAATGATTTTGAAAACGCCTAAGATTTTTAAAACTAAGGACGGTACCTCGAGCAGTGAAGCTGCCTTCTTGTATTGCCTTTCTGATGCCATCACCTGAAGCTGTGCAACCGCAGAGACTGCCATAACATTGCAGTGACTGTCATTAATGAGTTTCTAATTACTGTACTCAACTCAGTCAGCTTAAACAAGGCTCATGCATACATGTGTTACTACATCAACATTAGCATACATTCACTAATAGCTAGGTTAAAACAGCAACATTGTGTCATTTTTTTGTAATGCTGCTCAATGATCTTGGATAGCTGTCTTCATAAACACCATGACCAGATATGGTGAAAATAATGGTGAACTAATCAAACGGAGTAATGATTGATAACTTACCTACCACTGTGAGACGCTGAAGCGGAGTGATCACCATGGTTATGTTCTTTATAGCAAAATCTAACTTGTTAATGTCACAGCATGTTTCTTGGACCATTGCTTTAACTTTATCAGCTTTGGATTTTATCTCTTGAACAGTATGAGAGAGTTCCTGTGTTAATAAGAGAATCAAACTGAATCCTTTAGGAATGAAATGAAAAGGACAAGAGTAATATCTCAACCTTTGAGAAACTAACCTCCGCAGAACGTGTCGCACCAGCAAGATCATCTTTAGCTTTACTTCCAGAGTAACGCTGGAGTCATGATTCAATATAATTCTTTAAAAACTTTTGCAAAGTTAAAACATATGTAAAGCCTCAGAGGAGTCCAAACATTAGACTAAAGTAACCAACCAGCAAGAAAGCTAAAACATTTTAAAGCTTCTTCACCTGTTGACGAATAGCAGCTAGTATAGTAGCATCAACCCTACGAATCTCACTGTGAAGCTTATGAGAGAGCTCCTGTTTAAAAAAAAAAAAAAAGAAAGTATAAAATTGGATCCTTTACGAATGAATGAAATGAAAAGACAGAGTAGTAAGAGACAAAAGAAAGGAAATGGCATCTCTATCTTGACAAGTACGCATACTGATACTATACATGAGAAACTCTTTGATGCAGTCATCGATTCTCCTGAGAGTTCCCTCCGCAGCACATGTAGCATCAGCAAGATCATCTTCAACTTCAGTTTCCAAGTCACTCTGAGGTAATGTGTAATGAATAATACATTATTCTTTCGCAAGAAAAAGATTGCCAGACCAAGAATGATATATTATTCTCTCAAGATACGTAGAAGCAAAGAAAAAACAAAAAAAAATTCATAGTGTCTGAAATTCTCACATAAATGAAAGAAAGCAACCAGCAAGAAAAATCAGAACAAAGATTCTTCACCTGTCGACGAATAGCAGCAACTATGGTATCATCAAACCGCCGAGTCTCACTATGAAAGTTTTGCATAAGTGGTTCAACGCCACGTAGGTACGCTTCTGTAAGAACAAAACGCAAACTATCAGTTAAATTCAACAAATCCCATAATTTTTGGGTTTATATATTATTAACAAATCCAGCCATAGTGGTCGATATGTACAAAGAATCACCTGCTGGGAGAAACTCTAAACCACTCGATTTATCCATGGCTTGTAAATGTAATGCGTATGTGATCTCTTTATAAATCGACCCAATTAATTGTTAAGGAGATCATGTCTTTACCGGTTTTCAAAATATTAATTAAAAATTTCTAGTACTTTACTCAAGTTCTCATTTTTAGTCAACAGCACATGCTATATATATATATATATATATATATATATATATATATATATATCCTGCAATGGATTTTACTAATTTTTATATAATGGGAAAATATTCAAAATATACTCCATATCCACATATAATTACCATTTTCCCATAGATAGTGTATTTTGTTACCAAAAATGTATTAAATTGTTTCAAATATATATATATATATATATATCAACTTTATCCATGGCTTGTATATATATATATATATATATAGGTTTTAGTTATAAAATCACAAAACATATCAACTTTTACTTTATAGTATGTTTTTATATATTACAAATATAATCTCAATTAAATTTAAGTTTTGCTAACATTTAAAAGTAATTATATGGTGAATATCAATGGATTTTATTATTTACTGAATCTAAATTCTGTAATTATTATTTAAACTCTTTTTGTTTGCGTGTATATATATATATATATATATGGGTTTAGGAAGAAGAAGAAGAAGAAGAAGAAGAAGAAAAAAGGAGGAGCCGAAATCAGCATGAAAAGGTTAGAAGAAAGGAGAACAATTCACAGTATCAATCCAAAGGAAGAAGATGGTAAAGAAACTGTTTATCTTCCTGTGGATATGATAATAGAGATTCTTACCAAACTGCCTGCAAGATCGGTGTCCAAACTCATATGCCTCTCAAAACTTTGGTCATCTATAATCCAAGGGAAGCATTTTACCGACTTGTACCTTACACGATCTTCTACTCGGCATCTTCTTCTTTCAGGAGACGACAAGTTTTACTCTTGTCAGGAGAATCCGTCTTCTTCTAATCATAGAACTACTCGGAAGACGATCTCAGGGATTCCAATTTCCGCACCTGTCCGTGGCTTGATCTGCTGTCTAGATGTTTATACTCATGCGGTGACTGTTGGCAATCCTAGCACGGGTCAAATGTTCACTTTACCACCTATCACGAATGACTCATCATTGTTATTTTGGATAAATTCCAGTTAGTGATCTATACAAAGTCTTTTCCGTGAGAAGAGTTACTAGTGTTGGTATGGAGTCGTGGTTCCTTGTTGGAAAGATTTAGTTGGAGATGCCGTATTCTGTTGCAGGAGTACTATTAGCACCGGCGAACTAATATTTCAACCATACCGTTACGCTTCCGGGTTTTATTTTCTTGTATATTATAATCCCAAAGAAGACAAGGCTAGAAGAGTTGATGTGTTAGGAAAAATTAGTACAGATGGCTCTTTTCTTTTTAATTGCTTTGTGGGTCACGTAGAGAGTCCTATGTTTCTTCCAAAGAATTTACCGGGTTAATGACTAGCGCATGGTTATTGTAGCGCATGATTTTGATAATACACTAATGTTTTAATCTTTGTGTTTATATATCTCTACTCGTAACATGATGTTTTTTTTAGTTGATCACAGGAAATGAAATATAAACGGAACGTGATTGAATGCTAAAAAAATGTTAGGTTTACTACGTTTATTACTATATGTACGTTCTCATAAAGTCAAAATATAGTTACACAATGCTGTTTTCTATTAACTATGAACAATAAAAAATAACTCTAATCAAGTATAGTTACTTTTCTGCCTTGATACTAATTCCCGCACATTTCAGTAACCAATCACACATTTGTCCATTATCCAAGAGTATCAAGACTTTTTCTTTGCCAACACTCTAGAATATCAATTATGTTACCTTTTATTTTGATTCCCAATAAAATGCAAAATAATTCCTTGGCCCACAATGTGATTAGTCTTAATTTATCAGTTCATCGATAAGCAAACATTTTCTTGTTAGAGAAAAATTAAAAAAAAAAAAAAAAAAAAAAAAAAAAAAGCAAACATCTCAACAATCATAGGCAAAACATATGCGAATCTTAAGCAAAATATATTTAAAGTTTTGAATATCATGGATTGCAAGAGATAAAAGCAACCTAAGTTCTAAGCAATCAAAATTCTAACTACGCCAAGTGACAGACCAGAACAAGGTCATGTTTTTACGGTGAGACGGGCAAGTATAAGAGACGGATCAGAATCTTGGAGACCGATCAGGTGTAAACTTGCCAACATTCCAATTACAAATGGAATTTGTCTAGGAGGAATTCTTTACTATGGAGCTTGTAAAGGTAAAGATGGTCGCGAAGCTCTGGTAATGTGCTTCAATGTGAAGTCTGAGGAGTTTAATGCTATTGAATTCCCTGAGGCATGCAGGAGTCAGGATTGGTATTTGTCACCACTTGGTGTATTACCATGGACAACCGGCACTAGTGACGGAAGGTAAATAGGGGGGTATCAGAGCAAATGTCGCACTTATTGATATGTGGCTTTGGAACGTCAACGAAGCAAGGTGGGAGAAAAACAGCGTTGAAATTCCATTGTTATTATATCATTTCAGATGTTAATTATAATAACAATGTCGGACAATTTCAGATGTAATAACGTTCAATCTTTAATTCGTTATATGATTGTTGTCTTTTGTTTTGAGGTTTTATGATTTATCCGATTTATTTATTGTTCTTCTCCCAAACATTAGTACTTTTAACGGCCCAATGGGCTTCTCTGGTGTGAGCGCATCGATCACTGAAGACGAATCTGGAAAGCTAAATCAATGGCAGACTCAAAACTGTTGATCTTTTCGAGCTTCTTCTGATTTCCTTTCACTCAGAGCTGAAAGGATCTTTCGAATCTCAATGTTCACACTGCAAATCGTTTCGATAGATTGAGGTGAGGGATCGAGAAAATTCTCATTTCATCAGCAACATGTCCGACATTTCCATTGACGCATTGGTAAGCTTTCGCGCCATTCGTGATCTTCTTCTACCGATCCTGGATCCTGCTTGATTGCTTCGCTTCTTTTTTCGGAAATCATAGGGACAAGCCATGGGCGACTTCAGTAATCACGAGAAACTTGGATTTGATTTAGGAGCATTCGTCGGAGACTTGGCTTTTGAAGACGATTCAGGCAGGTAACTTTCTCTTTACCTTAATTCAACTTCTGATTAGAATTGATCTTCTTTCACTTGATCAAATCGACATTAGCTTTTTTTCGAATTTTGTTTGTCTGACAGTGAGGATATATCATTGGAAGGGCTTCAGCAAGAACTTGAAGAATGTGAAAGTGATGAGGTAAATTATTTTTAAAAAAATCTGAAAATGAAGCACTTGGGTTACTTTCCAGTCTCTTTTGAGTTACGATGTAAATGGATATGATGTGCTCTCTGTATCTTGTTTGTGTGTCAGCTCAGGTTGTTGCCAATATACTATCCAGTGGTGACAAACTTAGAGAATATGCTAAAGGTGTTGAAAACAATCTAAGGAAAGTCGAGTTGGATTCGATTGAGGTTGCTATTCTTTAACTGTGACTTGTTATTTTCCACTTTTTCCCTGTAAGTAGCTTACTTAAATGCTTTACTACACTCTTTGGATATCCAGGATTACATAAAAGAAAGTGATAACCTAGTCTCACTTCACGATCAGATTCATGACTGTGACAGCATCTTGTCACAGATGGAAACTCTACTCAGTGGATTTCAGGTATTTTACTATTAGCCATTTGTTTTAATTTGTGTTTGTGTGCTTCTTTATCCTTATTCTGTGCTTTTGCTTTAATTTAGCTATCTATATTCTCCATGTAATCTTAGTAGCGCTCTTTGTTTCTTTCTCAGGAAGAGATTGGTTCTATAAGTTCAGACATAAAGATTCTTCAAGAAAAGTCAATGGACATGGGTTTGAGATTGAAGAATCGCAGGGTATATCCAATCAGAAACCACTATTAGTATTTATCTCTTGCTGCTTCCACCCGTGACGCATCCAAAGGAGCTTGTCTATTTGAACAGGTGGCTGAATCAAAGCTAGCAAAGTTTGTCGAAGACATTATAGTGCCACCAAAGATGATAGATGTCATTGTTGATGGAGAGGTATTTTTCAGTTCCTGCTGTAAGAACTTCTTATTATGTGCATATGCTGTCACTTTGTGCAATAGTAGAACTGGAATATAGAATCTTAATTCATTTGGACTAATTTTCACTATGACTCCTGAGTACGTGACTTTGTAAAGCTGTAAGGGTGCATTTGGGCCTAGGATGGATTGTTGAGGGATATTTGTATATCTAATCTGATAGCTGTGCTATAATTCTTATTCAGGTGAATGAAGAGTATATGAGAACGCTTGAAATCTTGAGTAAGAAGCTGAAATTTGTAGAAGCAGATCCTGCGGTAAAAAGTTCCAAAGCATTAAAAGATGTAGAACCTGAACTCGAAAAGCTTCGGCAAAAAGCTATTTCCAAGGTATTACTAATCTACTTTCTGTGTGACTTGCTACTGATCAATCATATATTTCTATGATGTCCCTGAAGGGAGTGTGATAGGTCCAAACAGATGTATTTACTAATTCGAAACAGACTATATGCATGTTTCTTCAAGTATAGCTGTTGGATAAATAAGTCCTCTGTGCTTGTTGTTCTCTTTCAATCTGAAAGGGCATGCACGTAGACAGAGCATTGTAGATCTGTTCTTATGCAATATGTTTATTTCCGTTTGCAGGTGTATGATTTTATTGTCCAGAAGCTCATAGCCCTGAGGAAACCTAAAACAAACATCCAGATTCTTCAACAGAGTGTGCTGTTAAAATACAAGTGAGTAGTGTTCTCCAAGCCTATTTCCTTCGTTGTACGTACTTTTTTTCTGCATAGATGTGTATGTGCTTGTCACCTAACAAACGATTTTGTTAGTTATCTTGCCTGCGTAATGCTTACATGTTACTGAAATCCAACTTGATATTATTTTGCTTGTACATTAGATTATAATCCATCCTTAATTCATCAATTACAATTTAATGATAGGTATATAATCACCTTCCTCAAAGAACACGGAAAAGAAGTGTTTATGGATGTTCGTGCTGCATACATGGATACCATGAACAAGGTGATATTCTTTATCTTGTTTGATTAGTGGCACCATGCTGCAACTCCTTTGGATAGTCGAAGATACATTTTTCTTAGGCAGTGAATAGAACATTCAATTGCACGTTACATGCAAGTAGCTCCTCTATTCTTGTATTCATCTTCATTCAAGCCTTTTCTCTCGCTAGAACTAGGTGCTTAATTCTGTATGCAGGTTAGATAGAAATAGCTGTATGTTAGCTTAGGCTTTCAATTCATGTTACACCTATTTAATTATGAGATCTGGTTTCAGGTGTTAAGTGCACATTTTCGTGCTTATATTCAAGCACTTGAGAAACTACAATTGGATATAGCAACAGCGTATGACTTGATTGGGGTGGAGACTAGAAGCAGCACCGGCCTCTTCTCAAGAGCTAGGGAGCCATTAAAAAACCGTTCAGCCGTGTTTGCTTTGGGTGAGAGGATAAAAATTATAAAGGTATTCATCATTTGGTGATTAGCATTGCTGATTAAATTTCTTCAACCATTGTACATGCTCTGGCAAATTCGTTATAAAAAATGAGTTACTTGTCTGATTCTTCATTCAAAAGTTTGGTATTAGCCTATTAGGTGTGGGTCTTTATGATAAATTATATATTTTGCAACTTAATGTACACCATTGGTTTTAATTTAGGATTGCTCACTTTTGGTTTTTGCTTCATATATTTTTTTTCCTGGTTCACTGTAGGAAATTGATCAACCTGCATTAATCCCGCACATAGCCGAAGCCAGCTCTCTCAAATATCCTTATGAAGTGCTTTTCAGGAGCTTGCACAAGCTACTTATGGATACAGCCACTTCTGAGTTCTGTTGATTTGCCCTTTTTCATTTTGTCTTATTTTTGCTCATCGCTAACACCCTGGTTAATGTCGTATATTTTTCTTTATGTTAACAGGTATATATTTTGTGATGATTTCTTTGGCGAAGAGTCCATATTCTATGAAATTTTTGCGGGTAATTTCTAATCTGGCTCCCTTTTTTCCTTGAATTGCTCTACCAAACTTTTTGAATTTTGTTAGCTTATTAAAAGCATCAGTATATCTTGCAGAACTCTTCACATATAGTTTGAATAGTAGTTACAGATTTGATAGTTCAGAGAGTTGAACCCTTTCTACTTTACAGATGATTTTATGCTAGTAGCATTGTGTGTTTTTGGTAAATTCTGGATTCTCCCTGATACAGGTCCATTTTCTGTCATCGATGAGCACTTCAATCCCGTTCTTTCAAACTGTTTTGATGCTATCGGCCTGATGCTTATGATTCGCATTGTACACCACCACCAGGTACCAACTATGATCCAGTTACTAATATATGTTTCTTTTGTTGAATCCATTTGGAATAAAGTAATATAGTTAGCTTTCTCTTTGCATCCTTTTGGGATAAAGTAATAATCTAACTCTCAGTTTGCTACCTGTTTAACAGCTTATCATGTCTCGCCGGAGGATTCCATGCCTGGATTCATATCTGGACAAGGTTCACAACTCCTTCTCTCTTTCTTTTTTCAGTTTGATCTACTCTTAATACATCAGTTGTTTGCAATCGAACAAAAAGAGTTCATAATTATTGTGCTCATCTGCAGCTGTTTTCACTAGGTCACTCTTATGTTTTCTGGTATAAACTTAAAGGTTTTGTTTAGATTTTTTATTTAAGCTCATAGATGCGGTTATGTCTGATTTCCTTGGGTTCCGTATTCCTCTCTCACTGATTCTTTTGCATGTTGCGATTTGAGCAGGTTAATATGTCTTTATGGCCTCGTTTCAAAATGGTGTTTGATTCACATCTCAGCAGTCTACGAGATGCAAACATAAAGACATTATGGGAAGATGACGTTCATCCTCACTATGTCATGAGGCGTTATGCTGAATTCACGGCTTCGTTTATTCACCTGAATGTTGAATATGGAGATGGGCAGGTTCGTTACAACTCTCTACTGATCTGTGTTATCTTCTTATCACTTAAAGCGCTTGACATTAATTGTCTATGGTTACTTTGCAGCTTGATATAAATTTGGAACGTTTAAGAATGGCTGTAGATGGCTTGATTCTCAAGCTTGCAAGTTTGTTCCCAAAGCCAAAGCAGCAAATTGTGTTCCTCATTAACAACTATGATATGACTATTGCTGTACTGAAGGTGAGTTGAATCCTTAGCCAACTACCCCTGGAGAAAACAGTCTTTTCTGAGTCATTCAACATATCTAAATTTGCATTCATCGTGCCTGACGTACCAGAGGAAACTATTTTGATAATCTTCTTGTATATTAATTCCAGGAAGCTGGACCAGAAGGTGGGAAAATTCAAAAGCATTTTGAGGAATTGCTAAAGAGCAACACTTCGTTATTTGTGGTAAGAGACAATGTTGCACTTCTCAATTTCCCTTAAGATTTTTGAAGTCATATTACCTTTATAGTTTGCTTTATCTGTTTTCACTTTTCACATACCATTGCCATAACTTACTTTGTTCACTTCTTTGTCTCTCGTAGGAAGAATTGCTGGTGGAGCATTTCAGTGATCTAATCAAATTCGTGAAATCTCGTGCTTGTAAGCAACTTCCTCTCATTCTTGTCCTCAGTACTCATCTGTTAAAGTGAAATAAAACACTAAACTGTAATGTGACAGCTGAGGATTCAAGTTCAAATCCAGAGAGATCCATCACAGTTGCCGAAGTAGATCCGCTGGTGAAAGATTTTGGAAGCAGATGGAAGACGGCGATAGAGTTGATGCACAAAGACATCATAACTTCCTTCAGCAACTTCTTGTGTGGTATGGAGATCTTGAGAGCTGCGCTGACACAGCTGTTACTCTATTACACGAGACTTACGGACTGCATCAAGAAGATCCCTGGTGGATCTGGTCTGAACAAGGATCTCGTCTCCATCCAGTCTATCATGTTTGAGATCAGGAAATACTCCAAGACTTTCTAAATAGTTCACATATGCGTGATGAAGCCTGTTTCATAGGTATTGTGACGACGTATCCTTGAAACACTTTAAGAGTTACTCAAAATGTCTTTTACTACTGTTATCCCATTTTACTCTTGTTTTTTTTTCCTCAGCCTGAGTTTGTATTATTTGAGAGAGGTTTAAAGAAAAGGGAAGGACATAGAGTGCAAGTAGACATTGCTGCAAACTGAAACTTGTTTAAGTTTTGAAGTACTAAGCAACAAGAGCTTCCTTAGATCAAAAAGAGTCTGCTCTGAAGCTCATTGCATTAACCGATTTCAAATACAAACGCGATCACTACAAATCTAAGGTACCAAAAACTTACTTAAACTTCCTTGAGTTTACCCTACAAAGCAGTTGGAACACCAAAAAAGATAAATTTCCCCATGGTAAAAATAAAAACGAGGCTTCACAGAGCATCCTCGTGGTAAAGGTGAAGTCCTAATCCAAGTCTTGCACAGGCGCGACGAAATGCCATTGCTTCAGCCTTTTGCACAGCATCACCATAGCCTTTGTCATCTACCGAAGTGGTGCCTGTTGATTCCCTAAATATCTTCAATATACAAACAAAGCACCAATTAGAAAAACTATTTCAGCTAAGAAGCAATAACAATGAACACATAAAGTAAGCAAATTCTAAGCATTTGTTACCACTCTCTATTCAAAGAACTACATCAGAGAGACTTCTTATAGGCTAATAAAGACTTATCAAATCAGAGCATATTGCTGCTAAAGAAGAGACAAATTACCTCAGCGTCAGTGCCGTAGAGAGTCACACGATAAACAACAGTGACGGTTTCACCATTAGGAGAGTAATTGACACTTCGAACTTCTCCTGACCATTCTGCAACACAGAGATTCATAACACAAAAACTGTCAAAATCAAAATCCAACACCAAAACCCAGTATAAGAAATCGATGGATTTAATTTAATTAGCAGACCTGGAGCATGCAGATTCATGATCCGATTCACAATGTGCCTGAGAATCAGAATCAACACAATTTCAGTCTCTCAAAAAAACCCATCAAGAACAGTAAAACCCTATTACAGTGAGAGAGAAATAGTACCAAGGGATGTATTTGATGGAGCATCCATCTTCGACACGGGTTTTGATGACGGTATCCGGAACCTTCTTGTTAAGCTCCTTGAGAATCTCAGAGAGAGGTCTGCTGATTCCTGAAGTTGGAACGTCGCTCTCTGGTTCGGAAGAGAATCCACGAAATCCTTTCCCCATTTCCCACGAACAACGCCGAGAAACAGTAGCTGCTCCTGCTGCTCCGCTCCTCAACGCCCACGTCGCCGCCTTTAGCCGTAACCCTAGACTCGCCATTTCTTTCGCCGGAGAAAAAAAGGCGCGTCTTTTGAGGGAGCTCAAGTGTGTGAACTGTGAAGTGTAGGGTTTAGTTGTCTTTGTCCCGCCCCTTTTTATTAAGGCTTTTTTAATTTAACATCAGAGATCGAAACGTCGTCGTTGGGAGTGTTCTCTCTCGTCTTCAACCTTTTGCTGAGCTCTCTCTCTCGCTCGCTCATCGGCGTTGCTGAAACCAATTCCTTATAGCTCGAATTAGAGCTGGAATTAGTGGGTCTTACTCTGCAATTTAGATTTCTAACCGACGATTCTAGTTCGAGCAGAGGAAGCAAATCGGAGAAAAAGCAGCGAAGAAGCCTTCAGGTTTGATTTCTTCTCAAAGTCCTTTGAATAGAAGCTTCTGCGTGTTTGTTCATTCGGAATTTTACTTTGATAGAAAACATGGAATAAAACGATAATCGCTTTCTCTTCTTCCATAAGATCCCACATTAGCGCGACAAACACATTCCGTTTTTCTTCTATATTTCTAGGCTTTTGTTTGATGGGAGAAATTTAAATTCTGTATGCATTTTATTGGAAGTTTGAATACGTTTTTGCAAAGTATTATTTTGCATAATGGTGATCAGATCATAGGATGACCATTGCGTAAATGTTGTTCGATGAAACGCCTGAAAGAGAGAAAAAAATGAGTCCCAACTTATATTGATGACTATACGTATCTGTGCTGTGAACTGTCTGCAGATCAAGTAAGGGAAAAAATTATGGATTCAGATGAATGGAAAATCATCCATATACCTGATAAGCCTTCATTCTCACCTGAGCATCAGCCCATTGGTATATGCTTCAATCTCAGAGTGCTTCTCATTTTTTTGGATTAGTTTCTCTTCTTACAAACTCCTGCTTGTGTGTTGTTATTCTCCACAGTGAAGGTCTATGCAAGTGTAATCAAACCCAAATTTGCCAATACGTTAGTGAGGTTTGTCATATTGTTTCCCCACTCTCTGATTAAAATTTGTAGCTGCTCTTCCAACTCTGAACTAACCACGAGAGCATTTGACTTTGCTGTAACAGACATCTATGTAAGATTGCTCCTCTAGAAGATCTTCGTCATGTTAAAAGGGTGCGGAAGAAGATACTTCCAGATCATGGTAATCTCCCTTTCTTAGTTTTGTTGGCGTATTGAAAGTACCAAAACATCAGATTATGAGGTCTTGAATCTTGATTACAGCTTATTCTTAACAGGTGAACCACAGTTGACTGTCATATTATGCCTAGCCCCTGAGGGTGACAATCATTTGAACGATTTGCCACATGATGTACAGAAACTCGTCGATCCCTATGAGTTGAGTCCTTTTATTACAGAAGTGGGTTGCTTTTTCTTTCGTCAAGGCTTTTGTACATTTATTAGAATCTGTGTCAAAGATTTTTGCTCATTGATTTATATTTTTCAAATTGAATCTTATGTCTCTGCTATAATTATGATAGGTATGCAAATATGCTGCGGTATCGAAAGAAGAATGGGAAGAACAATCTAAGATATGGCCAACTTCATTTCATCCTCCAACCTAGTAAGCTCCATGTCTTTTGTTAGATTCTGATTTTCTGAATTAGTTTTGTCACCAAAAGGGTCTCTGCATTATCTTTTTTTATCTCCTTCTCTTCTTTTTAAAATGCTGCGCTCACTGAATGTTATCTTTTTGCATTTGGCAATGACAGCAATATAGATGGCATTGGTGGATTCAGTGAGGAGGAGACACAATCAATCTGCAAGTTCATGAGACTTGCTATTGATCTGGCAGTATCTAATAAACCAGTAAGTATTTTGCTCCTTCCTTTTCTCTACCATATAACGTTGATAAGAATTTTTTAGACAACAGACTATACTCTCTGTATACATGCTCTTCTTATCATCTCTTTTCATTTCCACACACCATTCCTTTTTTTTACTGTCTCAATCCGTTTTCTCTTAGTAATAATATTTTCCATGGGTTCATCGACTAAATTTTTTAATCTTTTTGATGGACTTTTCAGCTTGTGAATGCTGCAGTGATAGTTGATCCTTCAGTTAGGCGGATAATAGCTAGTGAAACTGATCAAGTGTACACATCTTCTTCTCCTCGCGACATGACTAGTGAGGAGACCATTTTCTTCAAGGAAAGAGTGGAAGCTAACCACTGTCAGAGTATTGACAGAGTGACTGACGACGCTAGCTCAGAGATGTGCTTAAGTGGGATACTTGAAAAACTGAATAGTTCATTGTCTACTGTTGCTTGTCTGAATCCCTGGCAATGGAGTGTGCAGCCAGATGACAGTGATAAGTGTACCCAATGGCATCCTCTAAGGCATGCTTCCATGGTTGCCATCGAATCTTCTTCTGCAAGGGATAGGTTTCTGTTTCCCAATTCAGTAGAGAGTTTTTGTCCGGATCATGCTCAACCCTCAAATGCTGCTGATTCTCCAGCTAAAAAGCAGAAAACAAGCAATCACAGTCCAGAGACTCCAGACGTAAGTTCATTCCAAAATTTTCAATCTTCTCCAAAGTGCTTTGACTAGTAAAGCATTCTCTCTTACACTCTTGAGTCCATCACACAGGTCCAAAATGACAGGAAAGAAGAAGCTCATTCAATGGAGAGGCCCTACCTCTGCACTGGTTATGACATTTTCCTCCTATGGGAGCCTTGTCCAATGTGAGTTTCTAACATATTCATTACCCTTCTAAAATGAGCAAGTTTGGGACATTTAAGTAAGTGTTGATTATGTTCCTGTGTATGTAAGGTGTGCTATGGCGCTTGTGCATCAAAGAGTAAAACGGATTTTCTATGCGTTTCCAAACCCCACTGCTGGCAGTCTCGGCAGCGTTCATAGACTTCAAGGAGAAAAGAGTTTAAACCACCATTATGCAGTGTTCAGAGTTTTGCTGCCTGGTTATGACCATAATGCACTTGACCAGAGTCATAATTGTATTACAAGTACTGTTTATGGAAGCTGATTCTTTGTTGTTCTTTCTTTCCAAGAATGTAAAATCCTATCGAATTATTTATAAAGACCACAAATTAGACTTTCCTTACATGTTCGAGTTTGGTGAATACGTGTTACAACTGCTAAGGTACCCCCAAAACTTTTGATTCCAATATCAGTTTCTCTGTTGATCGAACCAGAAATTTTGTCATGTACGTATTGAAAAGCCTTCTTCGAGACACTCAGTTCTAAGATCTTCCATGAGAACATGAAACATAGTTGGATTGCCCGTAACAACAGCATCAACACCCAAGTGAAGCATCCTTTTCATTGGATCAGCATCATCAACGGTCCATGCATAAACCTCTTTCTTTCTCCTGTTCATTGAATCGATCAAAGTTCTTAAACACATGGAAAATTATTGGGTAGGGCACTGGTAGCTATTTATTTACTTACCGACGCATAATTCTAACCAAACTTTCATCGATCAAAGGATGATAGACGCCCACAACCTTGGCTCCCTTCAATCTCAGCAGGTTGTTTCTCACCCCAGTCGAAGGATCCACCATCACAATGTATCCCACCTGCCAAAAAAAAATCAAGAAATGAGCAAGAAACTGGACTCAACTCCTCTCTCCAATCCTCACTATAAACAATTACATATCTACTTACTGTAACATCTGGTGCCCGTTTGATCATATCCCTAGCCAAACTGTCGCTTTTGGCCCATACAATGCAGTTCTTGCATTGCGCTCTCTCAATCTAACAACAGAGGATTGATGATTCAAGTATGATTCAGGTAAGCAAAAGGCAAAAAGACCACCATTTAAGCAAAGGGAATGCAACAACAATGATCCATAGGTATAAAGAGGTAACAAGTGATAACTTAGTACTCACAGCAGAAAGAATGTCTTGTGCGAGTCCCTTTTCATGCATTGGCGGTCCAACTTTAGCATCAAGAATCACTTTCCGTACTGAATTTGATATCAACTAAGACGCAAAATTCAAGATGAAACGTTAGGTTCACTGAGCACAGAGATAACAAGAGTGTGTGCAACGTTGAGGGCATTACCGCTAAAGCATCTTCAAGAGTAGGAATCCTACGATTACCTAAAGTCCCTCTAACAATTTGTGAGACATCGAGTTCTCTGATCTACAACAAGATCATCAAAAGGTTTTAAGAAGAAATGGATGCAAATTGCAAAGCATATCACAAAAATCTGGTAAAATAGAGATGATGAGATGAGACCTGTTTCATACTCAGATCTCCGACTTGAACGGAAGAGTTACGAGCAATACGCTGCAGATCCCTGACTGTGCGTGTGATCAGGCGATGAAGAAGTAACATCTCCGATGAGAATCCAAACAAACACAGAAAAAAGGGAATACGAAGGAAGAAGAGAAGGTAAAAGAGGATGTAACCTGTTGTGAAGAGCGAATAAAACACCATCGGAGGAACGAGAAACATCGACTTCGATGCAATCAACTCGAGAACGAATAGCGTAATTGTAAGCATCAATCTGCGATTGAGAGAGAGAGACTAATTAGAGAGTGAAGAAGAAGAAGAAGGAAAGGGATCGAGATTCGACTGGTGAATTACAGTGTTGGGGAAAGCGAGGGTGGAATCGCCGCCGTGAGCGCAGACAAGTGGAGGACGGTGAAGCCAATCGCACTTCCTTGCGACAATCTGGCGGAATCGTCGTAGCTTGAAATGGAAGAAGAGAGGTGGGAAGATGGCTAAGAAGACCACGGCGAAGAGAATCATCCTCTTGAATTTTCTCGAGTACAATGGCCTGAAGAGGAGACGGCGTCGAGTTCCTCCGCCGTCGAGCGGCCGTCTTCTCTGCCGCCATTCGAAAATCGCCATTTGCTAAGGAGCTGCTAATGAAAACGTTTAATGCGATTGAATTAAGAAGTTCGCCAATCAGCATCATCAAACTCCCGTCTTTTGATGATAATCTACATCTGTTGCATCAACTAAAAATAAATATTTGGAAATAATTTAATGAACAAGTCACAGTGACACTGTTTTTAAATAATTTAAAGTTATTCTCTGTTCCATATCTATAATAAGAGTAAAGTAAACACACGAAATAATTTTGAAAAGCTTTAGAACACAAAATGAATAGAAGAAAAAAAAAACGACGTAGCAAATGAGTTCCTTTGATATTCATTCTCTTTGGAACCAATTTGCTAATTGCTACGTAAAGCATTAGAGAATGTGGAAACGTGGTAGATTCGCTTCGATGAAAACTACTCTTTGCTAATACAATAGTCTTGTTTTAAAATTATCATCATTTTGGTGCCATTAATAGAAGAAAAATGAATGGAAGAAAAAAAAACGAGGTAGCAAATGAAATCCTTTGATATTCTCTTTGGAACCAGTTTGCTAATTGCTACGTAAAGCATCAGAGAATGTGGAAACGTGGTAGATTCGGTTCGATGAAAACTACTCTTTGTATCGCATCGTCTCTTTCTCGAACCCAATCGTTGGGAATTGCTTAGCATACTCTTCAACCATCTCTCTCAGCTTTGCCATCTCTGACTGTATTTTCTCATTTGATTGCATTGTTGCTACAAAGTCCTTCAACTTTGTTCCTGCAATTTACAACATTATAGAGTCCCCCAATTATTTTTCAGAGAGTATCAACAAACAAAAAAATAAATAAACTGAAACAACGACTTGTTATATACCTTGAGACTCTGCCTTAATCTTCAAGGCTAGCTTAACTGCTAAATCAAAATAATCAGCCACTTTTGCAAAATCTTCCTCAATGAATCCTCTTGTTGTGAGAGCCGGTGTTCCTGTAAGAAGTAGAATTTCAAAAGTGGTAAATACCAAGAAGTATGAACATTTACTAATTACTACTTCTTTGACATACTTATGAACATTACTTGTTTAAGTTTTTCTTGTAAGAGCCTTACCCATACGGATGCCACCTGGAACCATGGCGGAAACATCACCAGGAACAGTAATCTTGTTTGCTGCAATATGTACTGACTCTAATACTTTTTCCACTCTTGATCCATCTATTCCCTGCAGAACCCATTTTCCAATATCATACATTACCAAAGAAACTTAGCGACACTATCTACGGCTATGAGGTTCACAGTATAAAAACAAAACACATGTTCTCTAAAACCGACTAAGATTCACCACTTTCTTATGCAAACTTGGAGGTCGAAAACAAACATTTCCATCTACATATCAAAGGGTTCGTGCAATAAAAAGTAAAATGAGTAAGTACCTTGTTTTTTAGATTCACCAAAACTAAATGATTATCAGTGCCTCCAGACACTAAGTCATATCCTCTCGCTAGCAAAGTCTGCAATTACAAGCCATTTTACAAACAAAAAGTGAGATGACTACAGTTGGATTTACGCTCCGGTGTTCTGAACATGGCAGGATATTTGAGGCATATCAACTAAGAATAAGAAAATCGGCAAACATATCTCACCTCTGCAAACTTTGAGCAATTACGGAGAACTTGATCTTGGTAGGCTTTATACTCGGATGTTTTCACCTGTAATAGAGTAAATCGACAAGTCAAAAAATCATGAACGAGACCAAGAAAATCCTAAGACTAGACCAGATATAGAAAATAAGAAAAAACAAGTTTGATGATCGAACCTGCTTCAGAGCAACTGCTAAACCTGTTATAGTGTGGTTATGTGGACCACCTTGAAGTCCAGGAAAAACAGCTGCGTTAATTCTGTCCTCATAGTCATACATGACCTGCCATGTAGAGATACACACGACAAATTGATCAAATACTACGAAAATTAGTCAGTACTTGCAAGTTGTTACTTGCTAACTCGTTTTATACAACATGACTTTAAGTTCACCTCTTTCCCTTGTTTGTTAACCTCTTTCAACCCCTTCCTGAAGAATATCATAGCCCCTCTTGGACCACGAAGCGATTTGTGAGTTGTAGTTGTAACAACATCTGCATACTCAAAAGGAGAAGGGATAACGCCAGAAGAAACCAACCCACTAATGTGAGCCATATCAGCCAACATGACCGCCTTTTGCTTGTCACAGACCTGCGAAAATTGTAATGCATAATCTTGAAAAATGCAATCCATATTTATTTGGTAACTACACTTCACACTCAAGAGGTGAGACAATTTTTTTTACCTTACGAATACGTGCATAATCATATAGACGAGCATACGCACTTGCACCGGCAACAATAAGTTTCGGTCTGAAAAGCACGGCACTCTTTTCTAGCTGAGAACAAATGAGAAACGTAAATGAAAGTACCTTGTAAGCGTCTCAATGGTATATTTGGTAAAGATAACATGTTTTAGCATTAAGCTAAAGGTGGCTATTAACTACCCAACCTGATCATAGTCAATGTAACCGGTGCTCTCATCCAATCTGTATGGCATTGTCTCAAAAAAGATGGATACAGCAGATATTTTCTTCGTGTCAGTCTGCACATGAGCAATAAGAAAAGAAAAGGGAAGCAATATATCAGATCTACAAGGAGATGAGAAAGGAAAAGGAAATGAAGATGCTATACCTGATAACCATGAGAAAAATGACCACCATGAAGTACGTCAAGTCCCATGATTCTTTCATGAGGTTTCAGCAGTGCGGTGTAAACTTGGAAGTTAGCCGGTGATCCTGATAAAGACCGCACATTGACTACAGAAAGGAGTAGTTTATGTCACAAAGTGTCGCCATTAGTATCAAATAAAAGCATGTCATCTGCATAAAAACTCATACCTCCCCATTTCGAAGGATCTAACTGGAAAGCTTCTAGTGCGCGTTTTTGACATAATGACTCGGCCATGGCAATGTACCTGGTTGACAAAGAACGTCGTTGTAAGCATAACAAAGACAAATGTTTCATCAATTCAAGTAAAGTACAAAATGTTAAATACTCGTTTCCTCCATAGTATCTACTATCTAGCTCCAGGGTATCCTTCACTATACTTGTTAGTCATAACCGAACCAACAGCTTCCATCACCGATGCAGAGGTGAAATTCTCTGACGGTATAAGCTCAAATCCCTGAAATTCTTCCCAAAAGAATCCAAAATCAACAGGATTCATGTGAATTTGATACACTATTTTGTTTCTTAATATACATGAATAAAATCGAAATACCTTCCATTGCCTAGCTTTCTCGAGCTCGATAATATCTGCGATTTCGGGATCGATTTCTTCCAGAGGTGCATTCAATAATTTCAATTGCTTAATCCACTGATATAAAACAGAAGAAGTGACTCAGATATATGATGCAATCAATGTATATATAAGGCAACAAACGATGATATTTACACTGGAATGAGATCTCTCCGAGTCCGCCATAGCTGAGGTTGGCGAAGACGCCTTGAGCATAAAAAAAAAACCATGAGAACGGATCAGAATTCAAACGACAAGGAAAACAGAAGGTGGATTGAGAAGAGATAAGCGTTAATCAGAATAACCATAAAGCGGAGGGAACCGCCATTAGAGGAAACAAACGAGATCGGCTTCTTAACGGAAGATGAGAGTCTGCGAAGAACCAACGCCATGCTTTCTCTGAATCTCTTTCCCTCGTTTATCTTCGTGTGTGTGTGTTGTGTGTATCTGCGCAGCAGTTGAAGAAAGCGAATATGCTTCTGTAAATGATGAGCTTCGTGGTTGGTGAGAGCAAAAGGTGGCTTCGATAATATAAAAAGCTTATAATTTATATCACTAAGAGCATCCGCAATGGTGAGACTCAAATGGAGCTCTTTAAACATTTTTTTATATTAAAACATTTTTATAATAAAAATCAGAAGGGAAACAAGTAACTACCAGGAGCAGTGAAGATAGTGAAGATATGACAATCCTTTCCACTTCACTGAGATACTGTTTCACACAAACTTGCTTTGGTGCCGCTTCTGAGGAATCTTCTTCACTAGATATTGTAGGACGCATTTCACAGTCACCCACTCTTGGTAACTATACAAGTCATTCCTGCAGCTTTTGCAGCTGCTAGTCCGAATAATTCATCAGGATATGATTTAACTCCATTCGTTAAAACTTGATCAACCAACCTGCAAAGTTTCAACAAAGAAGGCTTAGTTTAACCAAAACAGCTGATGTTTTAATATGATTCTACAAGAAACCACAACATGTATATGATTTTTTACAAACATCCATAGCATCAGGAGAGTCCATCCTCAAAAGTATATGAAGTGATAGAGTATCAAGTGAGTTACAGAATTGGACTGAATGTACCGAAACTATGTCTAACGCTAGACCAAGTTTCTTTAGTCGGTAAGCAGAAACAGACATGATAAATACTTAATCTTTACCTGCCAAGGAAGATGGTGATGATTGCATCTAGGTACTGATGAAGCAACCACAAACTTGTAGAGCTCATCAGGCGAAATGGCTGCTGATGAAGGTTGAGATTCTTGCTGCTCGTAAGCACAAAACATGTTCTCTCCTGAACCAAAAGGTAGGTTCATTTCAACAAGAGAGCTAACTTGTCCCTAAAATTGAAACATCACAACTCTACTTTTCATCAAAATTCAATCCTTCATCTGGCTAGCGGAATGTAAACAATAATTTCTTCAAAGATATAAACAACAAATTGGCGAGCATCAATCACAAGAATCTGGAAGCAGAGACTGTGAGAAAAGAAACATTCAACCGAAATGAAAGCCAGCTCTTAGAGATTATGGTAAAGAGCAAGACAAATCAACCAAATGGCAGATCGGATCCAAACACAAACATCACAAGTCAAGCATCTTTCTCCAAATCAAACAATCAAACACAAATCACAAATTAAACATCACAATTCGGCCATGGAACCAGCGGAGATTCTGGTTGTTCTGTTTGCTCTAACAGAACCAGAGAAGATTATGCTCACTCGATTTCAATTTTGGTTTCTCTCTCGCCGGATCGGAGATACTGCGTCGCCTAGTCGGATTGATTGTCTCCGATCTACAAGAGAAGAAGCCGAGAGACGGATTGATCGAAGCAGAAGAAGACGAAGAGAGAAGAAGAAAGAGAAAACGAGAGAGAGTTTTTTTCTCTTAGCAAAAGAAAAAGAAAGACAAAACCTGAGGAAATTAAAACGCTCTCGTGCCGACACGTGTCTCTAGAAGACCCGGAGATTTCCGCTTTCTTTTTCTCTGGCTTGAATGATGAGTAATCAACGGTTCACTGAAATCAACACAATCTCCTTCTTATGCTTGTCTTCTTTCACAGCAATCTGTGCATATGTTTGAAACGATCAGAATGAATGTATATACCAATCTACACACCAAAGTAAAAAGCTGCTTACAGTTATGAGTATATAAAGGTATATGTTAAGTGTACCAATAAGTGTTTTACTAACTCTTGATGAGATACAGCTTACAACACTTGACGACTATAGTTGCTTAAGTAGACTAACCAATCAGGATTCGCAGTTAAACGTCTATGCACACTCCTACCGTAAAACAAGGGGAAGCAGCAAGATAACTAACCATTCCTGTGGACTTTTCTTACATTGTTTTTCTATGAAATCGTCAGAAACGTAAAAGAATGCTCGGGTTTAGTGAGTCGTGTTACAACTGCTAAGGTGGCCTCAAAATTTTGTCATGTACGTATTGAAAAGCCTTCTTCAAGACACTCGGTTCTTAGATCTTCCATGAGACCCTGAAGCATAGCTGGATTGCCCGTAACAACTGCATCAACACTTAAGTGAAGCATCCTTTTCATTGAATCAGCATATATCATCCACAGTCCATGCATAAACCTCTTTCTTTCTCCTGTTCATTGGATCGATCAAAGTTCTTAAACACATGGAAATGATGGGTTTATTCAGTTGAAAACTTTGGAATCTATTACTTACCGACGCATGATTCTAACCAAATTTTCATCGATCAAAGGATGATAGACGCCAACAACCACCATACATGAGTACAAAGTTCACCAATCACCATCATCAAACTAATAATTTGAATAATTTATAGTTCCCTAACGAATACGTGTTATTCAGGTAATAAATGGTATCAAAATAATTAAATGGGCTGATGATAATTATATAGACAACCATTGGCTATAACCTTTGTTACTTATATAGAGAACCATTGGCTCAGCATCCCATTTCATCCAACAACATATGCTACTTCCTTGCGACAATCTCATCATCTTCATGGATCTTCCTTGGTGATATTTATGACAATCACAGAGGATATTGAGAATCTAATCCAATCTCCAATAACTAAAATCAATGCCGGCAAAAGGGCTTCGCTGCCTCATCATCAAAGTCAACAAGTCCATGGAGAAGAAATGGTGGCAGGAAGCTTTTACTGTGAATTCCAAGTTTTCCTTTTTGAAATTGTGATCATGTTGTTGGTAGTTTTAAATTTACACAACAACAAGGTACAAATGCGTTTGTTTTCCCAATGGTTTGTGTAATAAAGGTGCCAAGTCATCATCTATCATTTCTTAACAGCATTCAATGACACAGATTCGGATTCACAAGTTGACAAAAATATTTGGCTAAACTTGGTATTTTACAAAAACTGGAGTTCATAAATAGGTTTTACAAAAACTAAACGTGGTGTTTTAAACAAAAAGTATCCCTGCAGATGACAGTTAAACAAACTTTGGGAGTGATCCATGCAGAACAGAAAAAAAAACTAAGAAAGTGTTTTAAAAAAGAGAGCCAAGCGAGTGAAACATAGTAATGCATATGACAACAAGACTCTCTCTTTTCCATAATTTGATAATGCTCTTCCTGTGACAAAATTATATCACAAAAGAACCTGCAAAGCGAACAAAAAACAAAGATTTGACATATATATTAGGATTCTGTGGAAAAAGGTAATTAAGAAGCGTGTAAAGAAATGATGGCTACCTAAGTCACGAGGAAGTTGAGCCATGGAGATCATATCTGGATGCTTCTCTGATATATATATGGTGAAGAAGAAGAAAAATGTCAGAAAGTAGAAGAGATAGTTTTAAAATATACAACAAGAGGATAAATAATATTTTACCGAGTTGCTCCTATACTTCTCATCCGTCACTTTGAACAAAGCATTTTGTATCACTATCTTAAACACCATCAGCTCGTGGAAACCCATGCCGTCGAGCTCTTTACCAATCATTCTACTGTAAAAGAAACACCGCAAGAGTCACATAGTCGTCACAATGAAATGAAAAGACAGACAAACAGGAGATAAAAGGAAATGTGAATTCAGTAGAAGAAACCACATACTCGTTCCAGAGCCGTAATCTTTCCTTCTCGACCGTAAGACCATCAATGACTGACCCCTGCAAGGAACAACCAAAAGAATAACGCAAAAACATTCATTAGAGTAACATGAGAAGAGATGAATATGAAAAACGCACCAGAATTTTAGGGTCAGGGTGACGATGGTCCAGTTGATGGCTGCCGCAGCCAGTGCTGTATCCATCAAAAGATATTTCAGATTAGAAATTAGAAATCCAGATGAGCGTACAAAATCAAGCTTCGTTTCTACCTGAGTCGGAGCTCTCTGGCCCTGCGCCTCAAAGCTGTTCTTCTCCTCGACAAAGTCTCTTGATAGAGGATATCCTCATCGTCGTTTTTATTCTTCCATTCGGACCAGTTGCTCCCCATAACTTGGCACTCTGCAATCTTCAAAATCCAAAAAAAAAAGAAAGGGTTAAACTTAGTAATTCTCAAAAATTAAAAATAAAGAGTAAACGCCATTTTTAATTTATGATCAGATCTTAGTACCTGCTTGACAGTAAATTCATCGTCTGCCTGAAACAAACAGACATGGTTATTAAATTAAACAAACTGTAGAATTTACAGAGAATAATAATCAAAGAAGAAGATGATGATTTGAAAAAACACCTTTTCGATTTGCTCGTCCACACTGAGGATCCCCTGCTCCAACAGGCTCCGAAGTGAGCCTAGCTCCGCGTAGCTCAGACCCGAAACAGCGTCACCATGCAGTTTCCTGAAACAATGCATGGTGTTTTCAGAGAGAAACAGAATTGGAAGCAAAAGAAGTCGAATGGTTTCAGGAGTTGAGTCTTACTCGTTGCAAATTTGCAACTCGGTGACTTCCTGCTGCTGCAATGCAAAGAAGAACACACAAAGGTGTAAAAATACGGTTTTTCTTTTGGCTCTCAATCAAAATCATTGAAACAAAAGAGTAGATACCAATTTTTCAATAACTCTGATAAGGTGGGGCCTTTGCCTTTGTTTAGATCTGTACAAGACAAGAAGGTCATATTCAGATTTTAGGATCCAAACCAGCTTTTAACAGAGAAAAAAATTCAGATTCTAGGATAACAATTGCTCTAATGAGCGAAATCCTAAGCTAGAGAATCCTATACCAAATAACAATAGATCAAGAACAAGACTTGAGACACAAGTTACACAAATTTTCTCTCTTTTCTCTTTCACTGGTCCATCGATGATGTCTTAAATACAAAGGAAAGAAATAAACAAACTGTCCTACAACTATCACACGTGAATTAGTGGGATCACAATCCCTTTAGTTTGTGAATAACCGTTTACACCGGTTATGATCTCATCTGAGAATCATCAATCCCGTTTTACATGATAGATTTCTCTGAGATTACCTGGATTTGGATTTGGGCATGTTTCTCTCGCCTTGTTCTTCCCGACACAATTCGATTTATCGCATGTTCTTCCCAACACAATTTTGATATCTTACGATTTGATTTCTAGAATTTGTTAGACCGCACAACCTTGAAAATTCGCCTCTAGGTTATACTTCTCTTTACATTAAACCCCTTAATTAGTTTTTTAAAGTCAATTAGACCCATACAACAATTAGCATTTTATTGCACTTACCGGTTCAATTTATCATCAACTCCCACGTACTAGTCTTTCAGTTCATATCTTCTAAGGCTATTTGCTTCTGTAGATTTATTTAGCATAGAAAATAATAAATTAACAGTGCTTATATAAAACACTAGACTAAAGTTACTATATTTTCATATATATAATTATTCACTATTAATGTATATTAGTCATGTATTAGACTATTAGTTCTGAACATAAAAGCTTATACGATTGTGATACATTGTTGGTTCTGAATCAATCACAAACATGGCACATAAACTAACAATGCAGCCTCTCTGTTCTCAAATTCACTAATGTTATGTGAAAAGTAAAAGATAAATGAAGAAGAAGAATCATTATGATGGAACAAACGCTTAGCTAGCAAGAATATCATTTGGCATAAACTCTTCAACAAGAAGCCTTTCATCTCCATCAACAACAATATCCAATCAAATTATCGACTCTCTTGTACCTTAACTTCTCCACTCTCTGTGCCTCCTCCTTGAGAAACGAACAAAGAAACACAATCATCAATAACCATCACAAAATTAAAAACCTTTTCATTAAAAAGCGCAAGGGTACCCCAGATTTCTTAGGATCAGGCCAAGCCATATTCTTGAATTTCTTTACAGCGATCAAGCCGGCGTCTTGCAAACAGCCCTATTAGACAATGTCATAGGCTTCCTCTCCGCTCTCTGAAACAATGTTTCCAACACCAAAATTATTGGCGGCAGCGTTGAGATCGGACAAGGAGAAATTTGTTGATGGGTTTGATGTTAAGATCTTCCATGGAAGAAGACAATGAGTATTAACAACCCATGATTCTTTCAAAATTGTTTCTTTATTTGTTTCTGCTGTCTTAGTTGTGTACTCTGACTCTGAGGCTTCGTGTCTCTTCGTTGCTAATACAATAGTCTTGTTTTAAAATTATCATCATTTCTTTCTTTTTAAAATTATCATCATTTTGGTGAATCTAATCCAATCTCCAATAACAACATCAATGCAAAAGGGTTTCACTGCCTCATCACAGAGTCAGCAAGTCCATGGAGAAGAAATGGTGGCAGGAAGCTTTTATTGTGAATTCCAAGTTTTCCTTTTTGAAATTGTGCTCATGTTGGTAGTTAATTTTACACAACAACAAAGATACGCAAACGATTTTTCTAGTAGCAGCATACAGTTGCGTTTGTTTTCCCAATGGTTTGTGTAATAAAAATGCCAAGTCATCTATCATTTCTTAATAGCATTCAATGGCACAGATTCAAAAAACAACAAGTAGCGTTGACAAACATATTTGGCTAAACTTGGTATTTTATAAAAACTGGAATTCATAGAGGCTGTGACAAAAACTAAACGTGGTGTTTCAAAAGAAGTATACTCACAAAAGACAGTTTAACAAACTTTGGGAGTGATCCATGCAAAACAGAAAAAAACTAAGAAAGTGTTTTGAAAAAGAGTCAGAGAGTGAAACATAATAAGACATACTGACACAAGACTCTCTCTTCCCGTGACAAATTCTATCCCAAAAGAACCTGCAAAGCGAACAAAAAACAAAGATTGACCTATATATCAGGATTCTGTGGAAAAGGGTAATTAAGAAGCGTGTAAAAAAGTGATGGCTACCTAAGTCACGAGGAAGTTCAGCCATGAAGATCATATATGGATGCTTCTCTGATACATACATATATATACATATATATATACATATATATATATATATATATATGTATGGTGAAGAAGAAATAAATGTCAGAAAAGAAGAAGAGATAGTTTTAACTTTTTAAATATACAACAAGAGGATAAATATTTTACCTAGTTGCTATGACTTGGCCTCAACTTCTCCTCCATCACTTTGAACAAACCATTCTGTATCTCTATCTTAAACACCATCAGCTCGTGGAAACTCATACCGTCGAGCTCTTTACCAATCATTCTCCTGTAGAAAGAAACCACAGAGTCACAATGAAATGAAAAGACAGACATAGAGGACATAAAAGGAAAATGTGAATTCAGTAGAGATCACATACTCGTTCCAAAGCCGTACTCTTTCCTTCTCAACCGTAATGAGCCTCAATGAGTGACTCCTGCAAAGAACAAACAAAAGAAAAGGTGAGGCAAGAACATAGAAAGGAACATGAGAGGAGTCGAATATGAAAAACGCAACCAGAACTTCAGGGTCACGGTGATGCTCCCGTTGGCTGCTGCCAGAGCTGTATCCATCAGATGATTTCACGTTAGAAATCTAGATGAGCATAGCCTAAGGCCCTGTTTGTTTCCTCATCTGGATGGAGCATGCGATTTCGACAGAAAAACGTGATTTCGCCAAGAAAATGTGATTTTGCGATTTCGACAGAAAAAACGTTATTTCACGGTTTTGGCGGAAAACGCCATTTTGCGATTTCGGCGGAAAACGTTATTTTGCGATTTTGGTGAAAAAATGTTATTTTTTTTTTGGCGAAAAACTTGATTTTGCGGTTTCGGCGGGAAAATATAATTTTGCTGTTTTGGTGGAAAAACGTAATTTTACGGTTTTGATGGAAAAACGTAAATTTACGGTTTGGGCGGGAAAATATAATTTTGTGGATAATTTTGATTTCTTAGTTTTTATTAAAAAAAATATTATTAATATTGTTCTTGTATAAATATATTTAGGGGTTTATGTGTTATTTGCATATTTGGGATGGATCATCTCTCATCCAGATGCTCCAATTCGGATCAGTCAGATGATCCATCTGAATATCAAATTTTTTGCCTATAAATTCAAAACTCATTCGGATGGATCATCTGGATGTTGTTCATTTTTGTTGTTAAACGAACATCATTCAGCTGATCCAGCCAGATGATCTAGCCGGATGATCAAACGAACAGGCCCTAAGCCTCAAAAAATCAGGCTTCGGTTTCTACCTGAGTCGAAGCTCTCTAGTCTTGCGCCTCAAAGCTGTTCTTCTCTTAGCCAAAACCTCTTGATAGACGATATCCTCATCGTCGTTTTTTTTCATCCATTCGGACCCGTTGTCCCCCATAACTTCGCACTCTGCTATCTTCAAAATCCAATGTATACAAAAACAAAAAGGGTTAAACTTTGTAATTCTCAAAAATAAATAGAAACACCACCATAATTTATGATTTAAGGGTCTGTTCGTTTTTGTAACTGAATGCAACATTTGGGCATTTGGACATTCAAATGCTGAAATGTTGTTCCTGCCTGACAGATAATTCATCTTCTGCCTGAAACAAACATACATGGTTATTAAACTAAACAAACTGTTTTGTACGAAATAAGAATTTCCAGAGAATAATAATCAAATAAGATCATGATTTGAAAAAAATACCTTCTCTATTTGCTCGTCCACACTGATGATACCCTGCTCCAACACACTTTTAAGTGAGCCTAGCTCCGTGCGGCTCAGACCCGAGACAGCGTCACCATTCAATTTCCTTGGAACAATGCATGGTTTTAATAAAAAGTTTTAAGAGAGAAACTAAATGGTTTCAGCAAGTGAGTCTTACTCGTTGTAAATCTGTAACACAGTGATTTCTTGCTGCTGCAATAACAAAGAATTGTAAAAAAAAAATAAGGTTTATTTTTGTGTGTGTCCGCTCAATTAACATGGTTGTGTATTTGTACGTACCAAGTTTTCGATAACTTCTATAAGTCGGAGCCTTTGTTCTTGTTTAGATCTGTACAAGAGGAGGTCATATTCAGATTCTAGGATCCAAACCCAACCCTAACAATAGGGTTTAACAGAGAACTAATTCAGATTCTAGGATAAAACAAATATTGCTCTGATCAGCGAAACCCCTACGCTAGTGCATTATGATCCATCAATCCTGTTTTTACATAACAAGACAAGTCTCAAAGACTTCAGACACAAGCTACACAAATTTTCTCTCTTTTCTCTTCATTAATTAGTCCATCGATGATGTCTTAAACACAAAGGAAAGAAATAAACAAACTGTCCTACAACTATCACACGTGAAAATTAGTGGGATCACAATCCCTTTAGTTTAGGAATAACCGTTTACATCGGTTATGATCTCATCTGAGAATCATCAATCCCGTTTTACATGATAGATTTATCTGAGATTACCTGGATTTGGATTTGGATTTGGGCATCTTTCTCTCGCCTTGTTCTTCCCGACACAATTCGATTTATCGCCTTGTTTCTTCCCGACACAATTTTGATAATCTTACGATTTGATTTCTAGGATTTGTTAGACCGCACAACCTTGAAATTCGCCTCTAGGTTATACTTTTCTTTACATTATACCCCTTAATTAGTTTTTTTTAAAGTCAATTAGACCCATACAACAATTAGCCAATTAGTTTTTTAAAGTCTTTACATTTCAGTGAATCATCATCCATCAATCCTGTTTTTTACATAATATTTCTCGGAGATTACCTGATTTCGGCCATCTTTCTCGCCTGTTCTTCTCGCGGTTCCGTTTGCCAAACAAAATTCGAATCCTTCCCTTCCCCATCAATTTATAGGCCGGATGCTTGGCCCAAAGAAAGCCCAAAATTTCTATTACTCTCGCTATCTTCTCGAATATGTTTACTCATGAACGTATATGATACGAAGGAAGAGTTTGCAACTTTGCATTGATAAAGGGTGCAAATGGTTGTGTAATAGAGGAATAAGTAGAATAAGAGGAAGAATGATTAGTGGAAAAAAAATTAATGGAATAATGACAGTTAGAGGAATAAGATAAATAGTGTTACGCTGGTTTATTCCTCTTCTTTTATGTTGAGGACCAAATCTTAGCGGAATAAGGCAGTTTTTTACCTAAAATGTGGGACCTACTAATTCCACCCAAAGTTATAAAAAAGGTAATTGGTAAGATTTTAGAGGAATGAAGTGGAATGATGATGACTTCCGCTGGATTTTGTTCCGCTATATAGACAACCATTTGCACCCAAAGTAAAAGACCCTTTTATTCTCTGTTCCATATCTATAAGAGTAAAGTAGGAGGAAGTAGACGCACGAAATAAATTTGAAAGCATAGAACACAAAATGAATAGAAGAAAAAAAAAAACGACGTAGCAAATGAAATCCTTTGATATTCTCTTTGGAACCAGTTTGCTAATTGCTACGTAAAGCATCAGAGAATGTGGAAACGTGGTAGATTCGCTTCGATGAAAACTACTCTTTGTATCGCATCGTCTCTTTCTCGAACCCGATCGTTGGGAATTGCTTAGCATATTCTTCAACCATCTCACGCAGCTTTGCCATCTCTGACTGTATTTTCTCATTTGATTGCATTGTTGCTACAAAGTCCTTCAACTTTGTTCCTGCAATTTACAACATTATAGAGCCCCCAATTATTTTTCACATATCAACAAAACACAAAAATATAAATAAACTGAAATGACGACTTGTTATATACCTTGAGACTCTGCTTTGATCTTTAAGGCCAGCTTGACGGCTAAATCAAAATAATCAGCCACTTTTGCAAAATCTTCCTCAATGAATCCTCTTGATGTGAGAGCCGGTGTTCCTGTAAGTAGGTAGAATTTCAAAAGTAGTAAATACCAAGAAGCATGAACATTTACTACTTCTTCGACAATACTTAAGACATTACTTGTTTAAGTGTTTCTTTAAGAGCCTTACCCATACGGATGCCACCTGGAACCATGGCAGAAACATCACCAGGAACAGTATTCTTGTTTGCTGCAATATGTACTGATTCTAATACTTTTTCCACTCTTGATCCATCTATTCCCTGCAAAACCCATTTTCCAATATAATACATTAGCAGAGTAACTTAGCGACACTATCTACTCCTTAATGAGGTTCACAGTATATAAACAAAACACATGTTCTCTAAAACCGATTAAGATTCACCAATTTCTTATGCAAACTCGGGGGGTCGAAAACGATAATTTCCATCTAGATATCAAAGGATTCGTGTAATGAAACAGAGAACGAGAAGTACCTTATTTTTCAGATTCACCAAAACTAAATGATTATCAGTGCCTCCAGACACTAAGTCATATCCTCTCGCTAGCAAAGTCTGCAATTACAAGCCATTTTTCAAACAATAAGTGAGATGACTACAGTTGGATTTACGCTCCGGTGTTAGGAGAAAAGCAGCAAACATATCTCACCTCTGCAAACTTTGAGCAATTACGGAGAACTTGATCTTGGTACGCTTTATACTCGGGTGTTTTCACCTGTAACAGAGTAATCCGACAAGTCAAAAAATCGTGAACGAGACCAAGAAAATCCTAGAGTAGACCTTAGACTATAGAACATAAGAAAAAAGTTTGATCACCAACCTGCTTCAGAGCAACTGCTAGACCTGTTATAGTGTGATTATGTGGACCGCCTTGCAGTCCAGGAAAAACAGCTGCGTTAATTCTGTCCTCATAGTCATACATGACCTGCCATGTAGAGATACAAAACGACAAATGATCAAATACTAGGAAAATTAGTCAGCACCTGAAGGTTGTAACTTACTAACTCATTTTATACAACATGATTTGGAAGTTTACCTCTTTTCCTTGTTTGTTAACCTCTTTCAACCCCTTCCTGAAGAATATCATAGCCCCTCTGGGACCGCGAAGCGACTTGTGAGTTGTAGTTGTAACAACATCGGCATACTCAAACGGAGAAGGAATGACGCCAGCAGCAACCAACCCACTAATGTGAGCCATATCAGCCAACATGACCGCCTTTTGCTTGTCACAGACCTGCATAATTTGGAAACGTGCAATCCATTTACCATGCAACTTTGGTAATTATACTTCACACTCAAGAGTTGAGACAATATTTTACCTTGCGAATACGTGCATAGTCATATAGACGAGCATAAGCACTTGCACCCGCAACAATAAGTTTGGGTCTGAAAAGCACGGCACTTTTCTCTAGCTGCGAATAAACGAGAAACGTAATGAAAAGACCATGTATGCGTCTCAATGGTAAAAGATAACATGTTTAAGCATTAAGCAAAGGTGGCTATTAACTACCCAACCTGATCATAGTCAATGTAACCGGTGTTCTCATCCAATCTGTATGGCATTGTCTCAAAAAAGATGGATACAGCAGATATTTTCTTCGTGTCAGTCTGCACATGACCAGCAATAAAAGAAAAGGGAAAAAGATACATCAAACTAAAACATAGTGTACACTAAAGTTAAGTGGTTTAGGAGATTTTCATATTCCACAAGGGGATGAGAAAGGAAGACGAAATGATTAATGCTATAGAGGTTATATTCCAAGTACCTGATAACCATGAGAAAGATGACCACCATGAGGTAAGTCAAGTGCCATGATTCTTTCATGAGGTTTCAGTAGTGCAGTGTAAACTTGGAAGTTAGCCGGTGATCCTGATAAAGACTGCACATTGACTACAGAAAGAGTAGCTCATGTCATAAAGTGTCACCATTAGTAAAATTCAAAGATTCACAATAAAATAAAAGAATGTCATCTGCATAAAACTCGTACCTCCCCATTTCGAAGGATCTAGCTGAAAAGCTTCTAGTGCGCGTTTTTGACATAATGATTCGGCCATGTCAATGTACCTATTTGACAAAGAACAACACTTCATCAATACCACAAAATGTTGAACCAAACTAAAAAAGTAAAGTGGTTTAGGAGATTTGCATACTCATTTCCTCCATAGTATCTAGCTCCAGGGTACCCTTCACTGTACTTGTTAGTCATAACAGAGCCAACAGCTTCCATCACCGATGCAGAGGTGAAATTCTCTGACGGTATAAGCTCAAATCCCTGAAATTCTTCCCAAAAGAATCCAAAATCAACAGGATTCATGTGAATTTGATACACTATTTTGTTTCTTAATATACATGAATAAAATCGAAATACCTTCCATTGCCTAGCTTTCTCGAGCTCGATAATATCTGCGATTTCGGGATCGATTTCTTCCAGAGGCGCATTCAATTGCTTAATCCACTGATGTAACAAAGAAAAAGGTGAAACTCAGATATACGATGCATCTGATCCAATTGCAATCAATGTATATAAAAAGCAATAATCCATGATATTTTACACTGGAACGA